GTGAAGGAGAAGGAGCGCACCAAGGCCATTACCGAGATCTACCTGACCCGCCTGCTCTCCGTCAAGGTGGGCCTCGGGGGCCGTGTGGGCGGCAGGCCCGGCCCTCCTGCCCTGTACCACCCTGCCGTGCTGAGCCCCATCCCGCCCCGCAGGGCACGCTGCAGCAGTTCGTGGACAACTTCTTCCAGAGCGTGTTGGCGCCCGGGAATGCGGTGCCACCAGCGGTCAAGTACTTCTTCGACTTCCTGGACGAGCAGGCGGAAAAGCATGACATTAAGGATGAGGACACCATCCACATCTGGAAGACCAACAGGTGGGGAGTCGGCCCCACCCACCCCGCCCACCCTGCTCCCGGATGCTCCTTCTCACACCCTGTTGTTCTGCCTCAGTTTACCGCTCCGCTTCTGGGTAAACATCCTCAAGAACCCCCACTTCATCTTCGACGTGCACGTCCACGAGGTGGTGGACGCCTCCCTGTCAGTCATCGCACAGACCTTCATGGACGCCTGCACACGCACAGAGCACAAGCTGAGCCGCGTGCGTGCAGCTGCGGGCAGCCCGGCGGGGTGGGGCCTGGACCAGGGGGCATTAGGGAAGCGGGTTGCGGTGGGGTGGGGGCCTGGACTGGGGGCATCAGGGAAGTGGGCAGCCCGGCGGGGTGGGGCCTGGACCAGGGGCTGTCAGGGAAGCGGGCTGCGGCGGGGTAAGGGGGTCAGTTCGGGTGTGGGTTTGCACGTGGGGGCTGGAGGTCAGGAGGAAAGCAGGTGCCGGTCCCTGGCGTGATGGGAGGCCCCGTGGGGAGCGGCCCTCTGGCAATTAGGGACCCTGTCGTCCTTCCCCTTCCATGAGAAAAAGTGAGTTTTATTGTAAATTACAAAATGACAAAAGCACCATCAGGTCTGTGGCTGGGCAGAGCAGCTATCCTGTGGGACCCCTTCCTCCACACACCCTTACTTTCTCTGGGTGTCTTGGCCTGGGTGTCACTTGGCTCCAATCCCCACAGGACTCTCCCAGCAACAAGCTCCTCTACGCCAAGGAGATCTCCACCTACAAGAAGATGGTGGAGGAGTAAGTCCCGCACACCCGCCCGCCAGGCCAGGCCCCGCCTGCCCATCCTCAGCGCCCACCCAGTGGGTCCCCTGGGTGTTGCGGGTGATCAGGAGGAGGGCCCACCTCTGGGAACCACTGCCCGCCGCTTCCAGTACCCCCCACCCTGTATAACTCTCTCCCCTGCAGCTACTACAAGGGGATCAGACAGATGGTGCAGGTCAGCGACCAGGACATGAACACACACCTGGCAGAGATTTCCCGGGTAAGGGGGGCATGGGGGGCGCAGGCTGAGAGCCCCACCCCCCAGGGTTAGCCTCCTACCTCGCCCTGAAGGCCCCACTTGGGGGGGCAGGTGACGTGCTCACAGGACCTGGAGAGGCACCGGCGAGGGGCCCTGGGGTGCATGGGGAGCTGGGGGCAGCTCTGAGCCAGCCCCGCCTGCCTGGGGCCCTCATGGATGGGAAGTTGTCTGTGCCTGGCACGCTGTGTGTCTAAGCGTTGTGACAGGGTTGGGGGGGGGGCCCTTCGTATCTGCCCACCCCCTGGGGCACGGCCTCCGGCCCCCGTGGGTCATGCAGCCCCTGCCCCGGCCCTTCAGGCGCACACGGACTCCCTGAACACCCTCGTGGCCTTGCACCAGCTCTACCAGTACACGCAGAAGTACTACGACGAGGTAGGCGGCTGGGCCTCCCTGGGGACAGCAGCGCTCATCGGGCGCCCCCTCCCCCGGCCTGTGGTCTGACGTCACCTGCCCCCACCAACCCCCCAACCAAGATCATCAACGCCCTGGAGGAGGACCCCGCCGCACAGAAGATGCAGCTGGCCTTTCGGCTCCAGCAGATCGCGGCTGCGCTTGAGAACAAGGTCACGGACCTCTGACCTCCAGCCTCCAGCGTCATGGTCTGGGACACAGGTGTGTGATGCACGGGGCCAGGTTCTGGGCAGCTCTGGGGGGTGGGGCCGGGCGGGTAGGACTCACCCTTCTCTCTCCCGCAGAGGAGGAGCCCCGGGCTTCCGAGTGTGTGTGGCGGGGGATCCCCCCTCAGAGTCTGTAGCCACGTTAGCATCTTTCCCTGAGCAATAGAGCCGGGGGCCGCCAACACCAGCTCCCTCCCGAAGAACCAGCATCCGGTGTGTCTCCTGAGTGATTCGAAAAACGTGCCTTACGCCCCGGTGCCACGCTAGGCCGCTGGGGGCAGTCAGGCCTCGGCCCCCTCCCCGAGCACCAGCAGCCGCCTCAGACACCTGGGTTCGGCCTCCCGTGGGGGGGCCTGAGTGCCTGCAGCCCCCCGGGACCCAGCGCCCGGACCGTGTGCGTCTGCCCCGCCTGGACAGAGGCAGAGAAGCGGTACGATGCCTCGCTGACCTCGCGGGCCTGCCCTGCGGGGTGCCGGCACTCTGGGGACTCCCTGCTGCAGGCCCCACCTCAAAGGTCAAGCTGGACGTCAGACGTCAAGGCCCAGGTGGCCAGAAGGGACCCAGCAGACGGGTGGTCCTAGTCTCGGCCTGTCAGACAGGCCGACCTGGAGGCCCTGCCCAGGTCTGGGGGGCCAGGAGCGGGTCTGCCAGGACCACCCCAACCCTTTTTGTAAATCTTGTGAATTGTAAATCGAATACAGTTGTCTTTTTCATTCTGCTGGTTGGCTGGGTTCTTCTGGTCTGCCGTCCCTGCCCAGCTGCCTGTGGCCTCACTTGCGTGCACTCTCTCTGTGGCCCCAGCGGCCCGCCTCCTGCTGTGCCTGTGGAGCCTCGGTCCCTGCCTTCCCTGCGGCCCCAGCGGGATAGGATGATGGTCAGACCCCGGCCGTGAGTTCTAGGCTGTGGAGAGGAGCTGGTCCCAGAGACCCTGAGAAGCAAGGAGACGTCCCCGCCCAGCGGGGGTGGGGCTGGCTTGGGCCCGTCTGGTGGTAGGAGCAGGCATGGCATGAGCGCTGGGGAGCTGTTTCCTCCTTGCCGAGGTGGGGTGCCCCAGTGTGGTCCAACCAGCACGCGTTTGGTCAGCTCCTACTGCGTACACGTGGGTAGACACGGTAGTTCCTGAAGACAGGCTCTGTGTCCCTGCTGCTATGGCTATGGGCCCTTCAGGGTTGGCACCTCCTGGGTCCCCTAGACCAGCCCAGGATGACTCAGGACATACACAGAGCTCAAGGGTCGTGTACCTAAAGGCGTGAGGCCCCTTGGTTAGTGCAGGGAAGGGGGCTGCCCCAGAGGCCACCCTGGGGGAAGGGGCTCGCTCCCAATCGCATGCCCAGAGCGCAGGAACCAGGAGGTGCACAGCCTGTGGCCATCAAGCACACGTGCTGTGAGCACACAGGCATGCACACGCATGCACGCAGCATCAGTGAGTCGGGGCCCTGTGTGTGCAGCACATTGTCCCAGGCACTAGCTCCACCGCAGTAAAGGGGGCAGAAAGGGCCTTCCCTGAGGGAGCCCATGTGGTCCAAGAACGCCAGCCTCAGCAGAAAAGGGATTTAGCAGCTTCATAAAAGCAAACGAAGGGCCCAGCTTCAGATACGGCTCCATCCAGGTGTTCATGTGTCTGGGTTCTGTCTGACCTGCTTCCTGGTACGTGCGGTTTTATTCTCGGGATCTGGATGCTACTGGCAGGCTCCCCCGGCCTGTCTCCACCTGGTGTACACCACTGTGGTTGAGAGGTCTCAGCGGGTTAGGTTTTTGATCATGAGCCATTTCTGGACAGGCAGCCAATTTCAAGCCACATGAAACAAGAGTGGGTATCTCCCATGTGGAAGGCACACAATTGGCATCCCCCACCCCAAGGACCACTGAAATGACACTGTATTACAGTCAGGAACTGAGACCAGCCAGTCAGGAAATCAGAACGAGATACTGCTAAACTGGAGATGGCGGGTGGGCAGAGTTTGCGGGTTAGGGTGGGGGAGGCCCGAGGGAGCAGGGACCTGGAGGCCTGGCTCCTAGACTGGACCTCAGCAGGCACTTCTGCCTCCTCCCCACTGGTAGCTGGGCATGAAACTGGGGGAGAGTGGGTGGGACTGCCTTCTGCTGCAGGTCCAACAGGCGGGGTGCCCTCCTCCATGGAGGACGGGCATGTGAATGGACCCAGAGGCCGTCCTTTCATGGGGCCTGTGGGAAACTGGGCGTGGATGCTGGGTGCACAGGGGTGGGCTGGCCAGCCTGGAGGGATCAGGAGACTGACAAAGCAAGGGGGTGATGCAGCCTTCTGTCACTCTCCACTTCCCGTTTTCCTTGCAATGCAGTGGGAGCTGGGAGAGGCAAAGATGGAGGGGTGAGCAGCAACCCCGAAGACTTTTCCTTCCAAGCTGCAGAAAACAGCCAGCCCAGGGCCACACCCTGCTTGATTGTTGAGAGCATGAGACATCCTCTAAGTCACGAGGCCCCTGTGACAGGGCCAGATAGCATTTTAGGAAGTTCGTCTGACCTTCCTAAAGGTTCCTTCCCTTCAGGGGGACGTGCAGCCAGTCAGAAGACCAGTGTGGGGCTGAGGAGAGGATGGTCTGGACTTGTGGAGAGACAGTGTACATGGACATGCGGGATCTTGGTATCTGGGGGGCCCTCGAATCACAGTAGAGAGTGGAAAGAGGCCAGGGGTGGGGCCGGCGGCCCAGGGCTCACGGAGGCGCGTCTGTGCCAGCCCCACCGCGCCCTCCTCACACCGGCAGCGCCTGCCGCTCCTGTCTGCCCTTGATCCATGCCAGCCCTGCTCCAGGCTCGTCCTCTACCTTCCAGCCAGACCGGCCAGGACGACCCTGTAAACACAGCACGGTGAGAAAAAAAAAAGTGCGGATCCTGTCAGAGGACAGAATCCCCACTAGCGTCTGGAATTCTGGGGGAAAGAGGGCGACGGGAGAAGGCGGGGAGGGGCTCCCTTAATCGACAGACCTCTTGGCCTCCTTGGAGGAGGGAGGATCTAGCGCCCGCTCCTCCCCGCCCGGCCGGGGCCGCCGGTCGCCATGGGAACGCGGCCCGCCCCAAGCGGCCTCGGCGCAGACAAAGGCCGCCCCTCCCTGCGGCGCACGGCCGGTTCCCACGGCCCGCCGCTCCCCTTCCTCCCGGCTTTAGCTGAAGCTCCATTAACTCCGCATAAAACCTCAGTCACTTCGCCCAGCCGGGAAAGGTGTCCCCATCGCGGGGCCCAGAGGAAGCGGGGGTAGGGCCGGGGGCTGGGGGAGGGGACACCAGCGTCTTCGCCGCATCCCGCGCTCCCGGCGCCCAGAGGGAACTGAGGCCCGCGCGCTGGGAGTGGGACCCGGCACCCCGTCTTACTTTTGGGCTTCCTGCAGGACCCGGATTCGCCGGCACGACTGTTCGTTTGCCTGGGACTGCGTTGACATGTTTTAATTTGGTTATCAATATTTGAATATCAGGAGGTTTCACACAAAAACTCAGATTTTTGTTTGTTTCAAAAAAGGGAAAGGTTGGACACTCAGCCTGAGGTCGCGCTCTCTCGGGAGGGGCAGCCGAGCGCCGGCCCCCCGCTTCCCCAGGGTGCGGGTCAGGGGGCTGACTCTCCAGAGATGTTCTATCCGAACCCTGGCCACTTCAAACAGAAGCAGCCGCTCCCGCCCAGAGCTCCAGACAGAGGCTGAAACAGGCCCAGCCCCTTCAGTGACAGCAGCGGGTGCAAACCGCACCTTCCAAGGGCAGAGAGGAAATGCCCCGAGCGGGGTGGAGGTCGCAGTTCCAGACCCCGCAGTACCTGGGAAAGTCAGAGTGGGCTTCCTGGAAGAGGCCACAGCCGAAGGGGCTACTTCAGAAGCAGGACGGGTACCAGGCCCCAAAGAGGGCCCCGGTGGGGAGAGTTTCCTAAGAGCCCAGCCCTCCAATCCCACTGGTGCCGCCGCTGTCCCTGGTCCTGAGGGCGGGTCTCCGGGCCCGGCGCGACAGTTGCGCTTCCCCCAGAGTGCGGCCGGGCCCGGCCGTGGAGCCGCCGCTGCAGGAGGCCCCACCAGGCCGGGGAAGCTTTACCAGGAAGCGAACCACACGGCCAAGGTCGGATGGCCAAACGGGAAGGGAAGTGAGGCCGACCCAGGGTCCAAGGCGCCGCCATCGGCCCACGACTGAGGGACCTTACCCGACCAAATGCCTAGCTTTTCTCAGGGGCTATTTTCTATTCTGATAAATGTATATAAATGTAAATATACATATCTCCCATGGTTCGCCCTGGCTTCTCTGATTTAGAGGATTCTGCCTTCATTCCAGGGGGAGCTCGCTGGGAGAGGGGAGGGGTGCTGGGCCCGGATGAGGAGCCGGGAGAGGAGGGGTGTCCGCCGCCGAGCAGGTTGGAGCAGGGAGACCAGGACCCAGAGCAGGCGGGTGGCGGAGTGCGGACGAAGGCAGGTGGGCAGGGGTGGCGCCCTGGGTGCAGGCACGGGAGGGTGCGAGGACCCGAGCCCAGGAGGTGGCGGCGGCCCGGCCCGGCCCGGGCGGTGCCGCGCCGAGGATAGAAGCGGCGCGTTTGGGGGAGGCGCGCGGTCCCCGGAAGGACGCCGCGGGAGGAGCCAGGAGCCGTTTCACTGCCCCCCCCATCCCCCGGGAAGGCCGCTTTCCGCCGGGCCGCCGCCCGGGGCCGGCAGGAAGCCGCGCGCTCGTCTGCGGGAACCCCCTCCCCGGCCCCGCCCCGCCCCGCCCCGCCTCCCGCCGCCGGCTGGGGTTCCGCGGGGCGCGGGGCGCGGGGCGGGGCGCGCGCCGAGCTGCGGCCGCTCCGGACATGTCGGGCCCGCGCGCCGGCTTCTACCGGCAGGAGCTGAACAAGACACTGTGGGAGGTGCCGCAGCGGCTGCAGGGGCTGCGCCCGGTGGGCTCGGGCGCCTACGGCTCAGTCTGGTAGGGGTGGGCGGGGGCGGGCGGGGGCGGGCGGGGGGGGGTCTCCGCACTCGCCCCTCCCCCGCGTGCGGGGTTCCGACGCGGGGGAGGGGCTTGCCCTGCCTCCGCCCCCGGGCCTTACGCGGATCCAAGGAATGAATGGGGGGTGGGAGCGCGAGGGAAACTCCTCCCGGAGCTTCTCCCTGGCCGGGGAAGGGTGGTCCTGCCCCTCCAGCCCAGGGCGTCCTCCTCCGGGTCTGAATCTGCGGCGTCACAGCTGGCGAAAGGGCCGGTCTCCGTAGCCCTGGATGTCTGACCACGCATCTGGGGTTCCCCGGTCAAGGGTCAGGCAACCCTGGGCTCCGGTAGATACCCTCGTCCCAGGGTGGGTAGTTTTGCTTGAAAAAGAAGAGCCCTGCTTGGGGGTGGGGCGCCAAGACCCCTGCCTAAGAATGACCTCAAGCTCCTCCGTGGGCCTGGTCCCCTCCCCTGTTTTCTAAGGGGTCTCAGACTCTGAACGGGGCTCAGGCCTGATCAGAGAAGCCTACCATCCCCCACAGTCTTTAGGGGGTCTACACCCCTCCCCATTTTTGCCCCAACCTAGAGAGCGCACACTGCACGGAGACCCTGGGACCCAGACAGGAGGGTGGGGCCTGGGGAGGCCCTGGACCTGGTGGGGCTGGCCGGGCATTGCAGACAGTCCTTGGGGTTTCAGTGTTGACAATTAGGCCAGCTGTGGGTGTGGATGTCAAGGGGTGCCCTCCCAATCCAGAACGGGTGAGGTGCCAGGTGTCTGTGGGGCCATGGGTGTGGGCAGGCAGGCCCCCGGGGGTAGAGTTGTTGCTCTAGGATGTGGCAGAAGGTTCCAAGTGGGACTACTCAGATCCCTCCCAGGGCCCAGCGCTGGAGCCTGGAGCAGGGGTTCGGGGTCCCCTGGGCCTCGGGCCTCACGCTGTCACCGGCCGGCCATCGGGAACCCCAGGCCACTGCAGCCACCCCAGCCACAGGGCCCTGGCTTCCCCTCTAACAGCTCAGGGGCAGGAGAGGGTGTGAGCTAACGTGCTCCTGGCCCCTGGGGGAGCTGACAGAGCCCTGGCTGGAAACGGGCCCCCAGGCAGGTGTCACTCCTGGGCTCCCTCCCTCCTCGGATGGAGCTGATGGCCTCCGCGCAGTCCTCTGCTGACCCTGCAGACAGAAAGGGGTCTGCTCCCCTCCCCCGTGAGGGACATTCCCCCCGACTCCCACCCCAGACCGGCTTTCCTCCGCCATCACCCACGAACATCCCACGTGCTGCGTGGGCGTGGAGGGCTGGGGTGGCCGCACAAGACAGCTTGCTGGAGGGAAGCTGGATCCTAGAGACCGCGGTGGGGCGGGAGCGGGGAGGGCTTGGCTCGCTGAGCAGCTGGGCATGGAGGCTGCGGGTCTGCACCTCCATGGGGAGGGGGGAGTGGGGCTGCTGGAGGGGAATGCTGTGGGGGTCCAGACACCACCCTCTGCTGGACACTTCCTACTGTCTAGTTTCTCACTGTCAAAGATAGGGATGCAACACACACCTTTGGTCAGGTTCTCCTCCACGTGTTGAATATTCCAGGGCTTTGGAGTTGGCTTTGAGACCCCTCAGGGGGCTCCCAATCCCCTGGCCCACGAGGAGCTGGAGGACCGTCTACTCTGAGAACACACTTCTGGCTGTTTCCCTGCAGTGGTATTTCCACCCTGAGAGGCGGGCAGGAGTCAGGAGAAATTCAGGTGGGCTAGGGAGGCCGGATGTCAGGGAACCTGCCTCTGGCGGAAGGAGTGAGACCCCAGGAGGGGGACTTCCCTGGTGGTCTGGTGGCTAAGAGGCTGTCCTCTCAATGCGGGGAGGCCAGAGTTCAATCCCTGCTCAGGGGACTAGATCCCACATGCCTCCACTAGGACCTAGCACAGCCAAACAAATAATATTAAATAAATAAATAAATAAAAGAAGACCCCAGGAGGGAGGGGAGAGCCTGGGAGCGAGTGTGGTCCGATGCTGGTGCCAGTGGCCTTCTGGCCAGTGGGGAGTGTGGGACCGAGGCTGGACCTCATAAGCGGCCTTGCAGCTCGGCCTATGACGCACGGCTGCGCCAGAGGGTGGCGGTGAAGAAGCTGTCGCGGCCCTTCCAGTCTCTGATCCACGCGCGGAGGACCTACCGCGAGCTGCGGCTGCTCAAACACCTGAAGCACGAGAACGTGAGCAGGGGGAGCGCGGGCAGCGGCGGGGCGGGCGCTCCGGCTGCCGGGCTCTGACTCCCCGCGCCCCCAGGTCATCGGGCTACTGGACGTGTTCACGCCGGCCACCTCCCTCGAGGACTTCAGCGAAGTGTGAGCAGCAGAGGCGGTGGGGCAGGGGCGGCGCGGCGCGGCGGGGGCGCGGGGCTCATTCCCGGCCGCACCCAGGTACCTGGTGACCACGCTGATGGGCGCCGACCTGAACAACATTGTCAAGTGCCAGGCGCTGAGCGACGAGCACGTCCAGTTCCTCGTGTACCAGCTGCTGCGCGGGCTAAAGGTGGGCGCGGAGCGGGCGCGGGTGGGGGCGCAGGGGCCAGCGCCTGACGCCCCGCCGTCTCCCCCTCGCAGTACATCCACTCAGCCGGGATCATCCACCGGGTAGGTGCGGTGCGCGGCGGCGGCGGGGGTTCCTGCGCCTGGGACTCTGCCGGCCTCTCACTGCGCCCGCCCGCCCCGCAGGACCTGAAGCCCAGCAATGTGGCTGTGAATGAGGACTGCGAGCTGAGGGTGAGCGACCAGGGCAGGGGCTAGGGAGGCAGCTGCAGGGAGGTGGAGACCCGCGGGGCTGAAGCCGGGGGTCACCCTAGATCCTGGACTTCGGGCTGGCGCGCCAGGCAGACGAGGAGATGACTGGCTACGTGGCCACGCGCTGGTACAGGGCCCCCGAGATCATGCTGAACTGGATGCACTACAATCAGACAGGTGATGGCAGCCCCACCCGGCGCGGCCTGCGGGGGCGGGCGGCGGGGCCCAGAGGCCAGGGACCTTTGGGACAGGCCAGGAGCTCAAGACCAGACCTTCAGAAAGGCAGGGCACTGCAGGTCCTGGGCTGACCCTTGCCCTGCCCAGGGTGCCGTCAGGAAGGGGCCTGGATGTGACTGCGGGGCCGGTGGGTCCAGCCCCCGGCTCTCTGGGGCGGGACTTGGGGTGGGCAGACTGATGGTGCACCTCCTCCTTCAGTGGACATCTGGTCCGTGGGCTGCATCATGGCTGAACTGCTCCAGGGAAAGGCTCTCTTCCCCGGAAATGACTGTATCCTTGGTTCAGGTTGGGGAGGAGGGTTGGGCCTCCTATTGCAGGGTGAGGGTCGAGGGAGGTGGGCTCTGGCCCTTTCTGGACAGTCTTGCCTCCTCTGCCCCACACCATGCCACCTTGGGATCACTGTCCCCAGTGGCAGGACAGCAGGGTCTGGGCAGTGACCCAAGGTCTGGGGTCTGGGATCCCAGGAGAGTCCATGCCTGGCCGTTGGACCTTTCCTGAGCCAGGCAGACATAGACCAGCTGAAGCGTATCATGGAGGTGGTGGGCACACCCAGCCCTGAGGTTCTAGCAAAGATATCCTCAGAACATGTGAGTCGTTGGTCACCAGCCCCTCTGCTGACCTGGTGCGAGGGGGGCTGTGGGACTAGATGGGGCCCCATGCGGGGAGCATGGGCCACAGTGGAACAGACCGCAAGGCGGGCACGGCCCCCTTCAGGGAGAAATGGGTGTCCTGGGGAGACACTCCCGGCGTGAGGGACAGGGCGGGTGAAGCCTGGGCACCTGCAGTGTCCTGGCCATGGACCGTGGAGTTGCACCACACCTGGGCCTGCGGGCCTGTGGGGCCAGGCAAGGTGCTGGAGCCCCCAGATCTGAGGGGGGAAGTCTTTGTTCCACGCATGCACTTGGCCAGGCTTGTTGGAGAGAAAGGCCAGGGGCCTCTCCCATCAAGCCCCTGCCTGGCTTAGGGCCGGGGGCGGGGAGGCCCTGAACAGCCCCTCAGACCCTTCCGTGGGCACCTAGGCCCGGACCTACATCCAGTCCCTGCCCCCCATGCCCCAGAAGGACCTCAGGAGCATCTTCCGCGGAGCCAACCCCCTGGGTGAGGACCGGCCCGGGGCCTGGGTGGGGCTCCACGCTCGGCCCTGGGAGTGGAGCTGACCTGGCACCCCCGCCCCCACAGCTGTGGATCTCCTGGGCAGGATGCTGGTGCTGGACAGTGACCAGAGGGTCAGCGCGGCCGAGGCCCTGGCCCACGCCTACTTCAGCCAGTACCATGACCCTGAGGACGAGCCCGAGGCGGAGCCCTACGACGAGAGCGTGGAGGCCCAGGCGCGCACGGTGGAGGAGTGGAAGGGTGGGCCACGTCCCCAAGGCTGGCCCTGGCGGTTCCCAGCGGGGGCCTCCCGCTCCTCCGAGAGGGTCTGGGTGGGGGTCATCTACCCCCGACACAGGGGCGGGCAGGGCAGCTAGAGCTGGGCCTGGGGGAGTCCACCAGAAGCCTGGGGGCCACACAGGGCGAGTCCAGGAAGGGGCCCGTGAGCAGAGGCTGCTCCCAGAGGGTGAGGGGCCTGGGCTGCTGGGGGCCTGAGCGCATGCTTCCCCCTCCCTGCACAGAGCTCACCTACCAGGAAGTCCTCAGCTTCAAGCCCCCAGAGCCCCCGCAGCCGCTGGGCAGCCTGGACGTTGCGCAGTGATGAAGTGCCACCTGCCAGCTGCCCCGCTGGGACTCAAGCAGGGGCCTGAGCCCACCTGCCGCCAGCCCCGGCCTGCCAGACGCCCATGGGGGGCGCCTGCCTTTAGGCCACCACAGCCGGTGGCACCCAGCCCTGGCCTGGGATCCCCGTCCTCACTCTGCGCCTTCTGGGGAATCTGCATGTGTGTGGACGCCTGCACAGGCGTGAGCCGCGGGCGTGGGAGTCTGGGCACAGCGTCCTGCATGTCCTTGTTCTCCTGCCCCCTCCCGAAGTCCCCTTTAGGGCCTCCTTGGGAGGACCTGGGTGCCAAAAGACCTCTCCCTGGGCAGTGTGTGTGTTTCCAGACCTGGATCCCAGAGGGCTGGCTCTGGGCGGGGGGTAAGTACATTGGGGCGGGAGCCTCCCTGCACAAAGGAAGAGTCTTGATGGTCAGAGCTGCTCAGTCTGGAAGTGAGGGGTTCCCTTCAAAAGTGCTGAGGCTCAAAGGGTCTTCTGTGGGGGTGGCGGAGTGGGGCGGCTGCCTGGAGCCACATGTCCACCCGTGCTGTACACACCGCATGTGCCCTGGAATCCACACATCCCAGCAGACGCAGGCGTGTGTGAGTCTGAGGGCCCCTGGGAGCCTGCGGTGTGACCGGCCGCAGGCCCAAGTGCGGGTGACTGTACTGTTGCCTCCCCTGCCTTCAGTCCTCCATGTGGCTGGGGCGCGAGGCTTTGCTAAGAGCATGCTGCGCGGCGTGCAAGGGGCTTAGGTGGCCACGGGCATCCCTGTGGGCAAATCCCCTCTCCCCTTGGACATGGGAGCTGCAGCAGGTTCCTGAGGCACGGGGCTCCGGGCCCGCTGGGGGCCTGGCAGTCTTGGGAGGCTCTGGCCTCGAGGAGGCGCCCACCAGTGTGGATGTGGATCCTGGCCCCAAGCGGATGGAGAGACCTGTGCCAGCCCCACCTCTGCCCGCCCTCTGGTCCTGCTGCAGGGACCTGGGGTGCTCTAATCTGTGGGTCCGCCCTTGTCCTCTGTCCTTCCAGAGCGGAGGGGACCCAGCAACTCTGGGACAGGAACCCTCCAGATGTGTTGGGGGTGTGGGCCCGCCGTCAAGGGGCTTCTCTGTCAGATGGTGACCTCTCACCCTCCAGAACCAGGGAGGTCTGAGTGTCAAGTGCCTGCGCGGGGGGTTTGCAATAAAGGGGGTCCTGCCCCCAACTCGGCTCGTGTCTCAGGCTCCAGTTCCTGCTGCCCCACTGCCTGCAGAGCAGGGCCGTGTCCCCGCAGCCCCTGCGCCCCAGCGGGACCTGAGGTGGACGGAGCAGCTGTCCACCCAGAATCAGCCCGCTCCTTCAGAGGGTCACTGGGCAGCGTCTGGTCCAGACCCAGACCTGCCCCTCACTCTGGTCAGGGAGGAGGCAGGGTGGGGCAACAAAGGCCTGCCTTCCCCAGGGCCAGGGAGAAGCTTTCCTTTCTTTCCAGTCAAGCCCCTGATGCTCCCTGCAGCTCAGGCTGGGAAGGCCCAGGCCCCACTGGGGACCGGGCAAGGTGTCCTTATCATGGGGACATTCTGTGCCTTTGCCCCAGGCCTTGGGAGGGTTGTGGGGATCATCTGGGAGCTGCGCCTGCAGAGAGGCCTGGTCATCATGGCTGCTTGGCCTCAGGTCCCGGAGGACCCCTGGCAACCGGGCGGGGCCGGGCGGGGCGGGAGCAACAGAACCCTTCTGGAGCCCTGCACCTCAATGCAGAGAGTAAGGGGGCTTCCTGGAGGAGGCAGGTGGGGTACCACAGGGGATGAGGGGCACGGGCAAAGATGACTGTGGCTCCAGGGACCCCAGGCTGCAGCCGCAGACCAGCCTGCAGCCTCCCGAGTGCCGCCTCGCTGTGGTGGAGCAGGTGTAAAGCTGCCCTGGCCGGCGAGCTGCACGGCTGCTGATCCACGGCGCAGGAAGGTGGCTGGGCCCCTGGGGATCTTGTTACCCTGCTGTGTCTCAGGCCTGGGTCACTGGGCTGGGGGAGGGCATGGAGGGAGCTGTGACGCATGAAATGATAATGCTCCCATCTCAAGGTAAGTGGGCGCCCCTCCACTTTGGGGGCTGGACGTACCTTCCTGGGGAGAATGAGCCGCTCTGGGTGTGTTTTGAAGCGTAAACCTGAGGGCCTGGGATGGACAGGGGCGGGACCTGCAGGGCGGCGTGCACATCTCTGGGCAGTGTCCCCACCCAGGTGGGGGGCCTGCAGGACCGTCCTCTCTGCTCCAGCGTGGTAGGCACTCTGAGTTCGGGAGAGGGAATGCACTTCTTCACAGGGAAAGGGGGATAAAGGCAAGATGGGGGTGGAACGGAGCCGGGGGTGGGAGGGTCAGCGCAGGGTGAAGGTGGGTAGTTGGCCTGCAGTGCTCAGGTCAGGTGCCTCAGGGTGGAAGTTCTCTGGTTGGGGTGGGGGGAAGTTGGCGGGACTGCTGAAGGGTGATTTGGGGCTGGGGGTAGAAGCTGACAAGCTCAGACGGCCAGGATGGGCCAGCGCCCCTGGGCGCGGCAGGAAGGAGAAGACGGGAGCCCCTCGGGCCTCACGCGGAGTCCAGCCCGAGGGCGGAGCGCAGAGGCAGGCCAGTCCGGGCGGGGGCTGCCCTGCGCCGCGGCGCTCCCTTCCCCCGCCTCCGGCCTCCCCCCTTCGCCCGCCTCCGGCCTCCCAGGCGGCGCCGCCTCAGGTTTCCGGAGGGGCAGCGGCGGGGGGGGGGGGGGGGGGGCGGGGGGGGCGGGGGGGCAGGGCGGGGGCGTCACGTGTGCTCGGGCCCGGGGCCGGTTGGTCCTCCTGCAGGGGAGGGGCCGCGCGCGGGCCAGGCGGGGGCCGGGGTCGGAGCTCCGGACGGGACAGCCGGCAGCCGGGTTCCCCGGCGGCGGCGGCTGCGACGGTGGCCCGGGGTGCGCGCAGGAACCCCGGCTCTCGAGGCGGCGGGGGCGGTGCCCGGCCAGCCATGAGCTCTCCGTCGCCCGCCCGCAAGGGCTTTTATCGCCAGGAGGTGACCAAGACGGCCTGGGAGGTGCGCGTCGTGTACCAGGATCTGCAGCCCGTGGGCTCGGGCGCCTATGGTGCCGTGTGGTGAGCGCAGGCCGGGCTGGGTCGCAGGCCGTAGGTGGCCGCGGGTGGGGTGTCCCGGCCCCTCGCTGAGCTGTGCGTCCCGCAGCTCGGCAGTGGACAGCCGCACGGGCGCCAAGGTGGCCATCAAGAAGCTGTACCGGCCCTTTCAGTCCGAGCTGTTCGCCAAGCGCGCCTACCGCGAGCTTCGCCTGCTGAAGCACATGCGCCACGAGAACGTGAGTCGCGCCGCCCGGACCCGCGGCCGCCGCGCTCCGCTCATCCCCCGCCGGCCCCAGATCCTGCCCTGGAGACCCCTGGGCTGATCCTTGGGATGGCGGGGCGGAGGCCGTGGGTCCGACCGTGTCCCGGAGCGTGCGGGTCGAGAGGGCGGCTTCCCCGGGTCTCGTCCGCTCCACCTGGGCCCGTCCCGCAACCTCTTCTTGACTCTTGGGCCTGGGGCCTGCTCGGGGATGGCCCAGGCCACGGGGCTCCTGCCCTACTCGCTCCAAACTTTGACTTGAGCCCTGGGGACCTCGGCGGGAGGAGGGGTTTTCCTGGAAGGGACCTCCCCCCCACGCCAGCCCGCTGCCCCCTGCCCGCTCCTCCAGCCCCTTTCCCGACCCCAGTCTGCCTCCTGAGCCCCAGCCCTGGGACTGGGATGGCTGGGAACACGGAGGAACCCGAGCTGTCAGCTTCCTTAGAGCCCCCGGATCTCTGATGGTGAAGGGGTCCAGCGAGCCGTGTGTGGAGGATGTTGGGCACCAGCTGCATGCAGACCCTTCCTGTGACGCCCTCCCCAACAATGTGAGGAAGGGCCGGCCCCCACCAGGGAGGCGTCTCCTCTGCCTCCAGACCTGCCCACCGGAGATGGCCGTGGTGCCCCAAGCCTCTCCCTGCACAGTGCCGACCGCAGAGGGCCCTTCCCTCTTCCTCCATGCAGTTCCTCCTGTGACCCTGAGAGCTACCTGCTCCCCCTACCGCAAGCCACTCCTGCCCAGTCTGAGGGTAATCTGGGTGCCCAGACCCTGGTCAGTCATGGCGGGCTGGCACCTCCTGGTCCCTGTGTCCACCAGGAAACTGCCCTCAGCTCCAGGGCCCACCCGCTCAGCGCCTCGGTGGGTCCTGCACTCCCATCCCCAGGTGGAGTCCCCTTGTGTGGACACCCACCCAGCCCCGGGCTTTGCTACCTGCAGGCACACCTGCTCACACGTGGGACTCGTCCCCATAAGGACTGACCCCTCTGCCAGAGCCTTCCTGCGGTCCTCTCCCTCCCATTTCGTGCTCCCCCACCTCGCCCTGGCCTGTCCGCGCTCTCCCTGGGCTTCTGATCCGTGGCCTCCCGGTCCTGTCCTTCCTTGCTCGGGCCTCCCCGCTGCCGCCGGTTCCTGCCTTCCCACAGGCCCCCTGACCCACAGCAGCTGCCCCCCTGAGCTGGGAGGCTCCGCCTTTCATGATCCTGGGGTTCCTGGGAAGAAACGGTCTCCAAGAGGCTGAGGCGTGACCCAGTCCTGCCCGTTCTGTGCCCACCTCCGCCCCTGCACCCCAGCCCCCCACCCCCAGCACCAGCCTCTTTGTGCAAGGCAGAGGCCTGGAAGTTTCCATCAACCTGACACGCCTGCCCTGAACCTCCGGGATCCTTGCTGAAACCGCCTCCTGAGGCTTCTGCTGCCTCTGGCCCGTCTCTGGTGTCCCTGCCTCCCTCACCCGTGTCTGGCCCTGGAGGCTGTGGTGGTCACCGAGTCATCACTCTGCCTCATGCCCGCTTTGTGCCTGGCAGGCACCCAGCAGCATGCCCGCCTAACCCCCCCGCAGCGGCTCCTGGGATCGGGGCAGCCTTCACCTGGTGTCGCGGGCCCGTTCGCTCTCCTCGGCTTCTCCTTGGCGGCTCCCTGGCCTGGTTCTTGGCCACCTGGCCTCTCTCCCGTGTTCCTCAAGTGCTCCGAGCTCTCTTGTCTCCTGCCTCGGCCACCATTCGTGTGGCCTCTGCCAGGCCTGCCCCCTGCCAGCACGCCCACCCGTCTCTCTAGCCGCTTGGATGTGCAGGCTTCACGGGGTCCCTGGAGGCCCAGGTGCCAGCTGTCAGACTGCCCGTGTGCTGTCACCCCCCAAGCACAGGCCTGCGGGGTGTGGGTTTGGTCCTAGTGCCGCCTGCCTGGACCTCTTTGGCAGAGGCGTGGTCCCTCCTAGGGGCTGGCTGCCCCCACCCTGGTCCTGGGTCTTCAGCAGGGACAGGAAGTGGGGTGAGGACGGGCCAAGGGCTGAGCTCCTTGGATGGCTGGGGGCTGCCCTGGACTTGAGGCTGCCCCTCCCCCAGAGGATGCCCGCAGTCTCCATCCAGAAATAGCCTTTGTCTGTGGGCACGTGTGCCAGGGCAAGGTAGAGCTGCCAGTGGGCAGAGCCGGGCCCATGGGCAGTTGCAGGGGGCTCGCCTGCTGAGAACAGTGGGTGCCCGAGCCCCCGCCCACCCGGCGCTTGGCCTCCTCCCCAGGTGATTGGGCTGCTGGATGTGTTCACGCCTGACGAGACACTGGATGACTTCACGGACTTGTGAGTGTCAGCCCGGGGTTGGCCGGGTAGGGAGTTGGTGTTGGGTGGCTCCTGGGTGTCAACTTCAGCTTTGGGGTTGGCAGGGAGCCCCTTGAGGCGGGTCTCGCCTCACAGCCTGGCCAGGGGTTGGGGCACACCCGGCCCCCACTGCCCCCTGCCACATGCTCCTGTTGCCACAGGGTGGGCCTGGGCCCCCTCCTGCAGTGCCAGAGCTGTGAGTCTTGGCCCCGAGGGTTGTCAGCGGTCCCGTGCTCCGTGCTGGCCCTGAGGCTGTGCCTGTAACTGGAGCTGCTGACCTTTGCCAGCGGGAGGGGAGGGGCGCAGGGGGCCAATGCTGACTGTTCTGTGACGCCCGCCCCGCGACTGCCGGGGTGGCTACCCCTGGACCCACGCTCCCCTCGGCTAGGAGCCTGGGCCCGGCCTGGCAAGGGCGGGGGAGACGGGCTCCTCACCGCCCAGCCTCGCGGAGGTCAAGGACACACACACACTGGCCCAGCGTCCTGGTGGGGTGCTCAGGCTGTCTCCCTGTCTCCCCACCCCATCCAGCTTTCCCCCCCGATGCGGATGCCCTGCATTCACCCCTGTCCAGAACCACCTCTCTCCTTTCTTTCGCCCCCTCCCTTGCCTCAAACCTCGGTCTCCCTGGTCACCCTTCGGAAACTCCAAAGCACAGTTCTTAGCTGCCTGGCCTCGCGGGGCCCGCAGGGTGGGGCCTGGGGCAGCGCCGTGGGAGGCGGGGACCACGTGCCGCAGTGTGACGGGGTCCCATGCGACCCTGACTGTCTGTACTCTGTCATGCCCTGCAGTTACCTGGTGATGCCGTTCATGGGCACCGACCTGGGAAAGCTCATGAAGCATGAGAAGCTGAGTGAGGACCGAGTGCAGTTCCTTGTCTACCAGATGCTCAAGGGGCTGAAGGTGGGGACACGGGATGGCAGGGGGCGCCCGCTGGGCTGGGAGGGGCCCTGGGCATGGCCGGGATGCGGGTTCCTGTGAGCTGACGGCCGCTGACTACCCTCTGTCCCCACAGTACATCCACGCTGCTGGCGTCATCCACAGGGTGAGTCCTGGCCCGGGGGGCGGGGGGCGCCTCTCCTGGCTGTGGGTATAAGGGGCTTCGTCCCAGAGCCGCCCACCCCTGACGGGGCACCCCCCCTGCACACCGCCTGGGGCGGGTACCCCACCCTTCCTGGAAGGGCTGCGAGGAGGCCGGCTGTGCCCCCACGTTCAGGTGCTGCTCGGGCCCTGGCTTTGGCCCTGCTGGGTGGCACTGCACCAACACCATGCCTCTGTCCCCAGGACCTGAAGCCTGGCAACCTGGCGGTGAACGAGGACTGTGAGCTGAAGGTGTGTGTGGGGCTGGGTGCTCGGGCCCTCCCCCACACCCGCCTGTCTGCCCGCTGGGCCCCTGCTCTCAGGCCCGGAGGTGGGCTGGCCCAGGCCCATGCGGACGGACCAGACCTCAACCATCCGGGCCATGGCCGGGGTCCTAGGGCGGCACTTGGCAGGTGACCTGTGGCACATGCCCGTACCTGCTTGAGGAGAAGTGGGGCGGAGGGGGACTGCACAGAGGCACTGGCCGGGGCCGGGCGTCTGCAGGGGCGGGGTGCAGGGAGGAGACCCCCGGGGGCCTGTTTCTGAGGGTTGGGGGCAGGCGTGGCCCGTTGGGCCGGGGGCCCTCTCTGTCAGGGGGCCCTGGAGACAGGGTTAAGGGCACGTGGCCAAGACCTCATCCCCAGGGAGTTGCCCCGAGGCCCCGGTGTGCCCGGGCCCCTTGGGGTCTTGTGGACCACAGTCGGCCCGCCCACTCCCCAGGGTCCACTTTGCCCCCCACTTCCTCTGACTCTGGCTATAGATCCTGGACTTCGGCCTGGCCCGGCAGGCAGACAGCGAGATGACCGGGTACGTGGTGACCCGGTGGTACCGGGCACCCGAGGTCATCTTGAACTGGATGCACTACACGCAGACGGGTGAGGAGCTGCCCGCCTGCGCCCTGCTCCACGGGGGTCTGTGGCAGCTGCTTCGTGGGGAGGCTCCAAGCTGGGTGGGGGGCTGGGCGGGGGGGGGTGGCAGGCCAGATGGCTCCGGCGCCCATGACCCCTCCGCCGTCCCCACCCCCGTCTGTGTCTCCGCCTCCCCAGTCTGTGTGTGCCCCCCTCCCCAGCCCACAGAGCCCTGATGCAGGGGCTTCTGTCTCAGTGGACATCTGGTCCGTGGGCTGCATCATGGCCGAGATGATCACGGGGAAGACGCTCTTCAAAGGCAACGACCGTATCCTATACCGAGGGCCAGGCTGGGGCTTGCCCTGCACCTGGGGCTGGGTTTGGGGGGGCTTACCCTGCACCTGAGGGGACACCTGCCAGGAGCAGGTGGGTGGGTGAGCCCTGTCTCTGGCCCGCTCTGTGTTCCTGACCTTGGCCAAGACCTGGACCAGCTGAAGGAGATCATGAAGGTGACGGGGACGCCTCCCGCGGAGTTTGTGCAGAGGCTGCAAAGTGACGAGGTCAGCTGGGAGCCGGGTGGGGGCTGGGGACAGGCCCGGGACTGGCTTCTCACGGTCTGCTCCCGAGCAGGCCAAGAACTACATGAAGGGCCTCCCTGAGTTGGAGAAGAAGGATTTTGCCTCCGTCCTGACCAACGCGAGCCCCCTGGGTAGGTGGCACTGGGGTGGGTGTGGGTCCAGGCCCTAGGACGCTGACCTCGGTCTGCCTGACCTGTCCTTCCTGCAGCCGTGAGCCTCCTGGAGAAGATGCTGGTGCTGGACGCAGAGCGGCGGGTGACGGCGGCCGAGGCGCTGGCCCACCCCTACTTCGAGTCGCTGCACGACATGGAGGACGAGCCCCAGGCCCAGAAATACGACGAGTCCTTTGACGACATGGACCGCACGCTGGACGAGTGGAAGCGTGAGTGGGGGCCCGGGCCGGCCCCGTGCGGGTGGCGGGGCTCAGGGGCCCGGGCCCCCCTCCCCAGGATGCAGCTTCAGCGAGGAACGCAGCAGGAGGTCAGAGGGCACACCCAGGCACTGGAGCAGCCAGCGTGCCCGTGCACTTCTAGGCCAGGGCTCGGGCTGCCCCGGAGCCCCTCGGAACCCCTCCCCAGGCCTCTGCTCATACTTCTGGGATCTCCTTCCCCTTTCAAGACCGTTCCTACCACACAGTCACACAGCACCCTTGTCCTGCCGGGAGGGTCAGGTCCGCACCAGGCAGCCCGTCTGCCCTCCACCTTCCTCAGCACCCCTTGCCCGTCCCCTCCAGCCCACTGAGCACCCTCATCCATGCTCTGCGCCGCCAGGCTTTGCTTTGGCTGTCCCTAGACCAAGGGCCCTGCTGGTCTCTGAGGGCTGCTCAGCCTGAGGCTGGGCTCAGGGTCACCTGTGTGGTCCCTGGCCCGCCCCCCCCCACCGCCAGGTCCCTGACGCCCCACGCTGGATCAGGCCTCGTCCAGCACGTGGTATCTCTGTGGCTTCAGGCCCCTGGAGGGAGTGGGGACCCAGCTGAGGGCAGCATAGGGCCGCTGGAGCTGCGGGCCTGGTGGCTGCTGTCCGAGACCCCATCCTGGCTGAGCCTCAGGCCAGCGCTGTGGTCCTGGACGCGGAGGGTGGGGCGGGGCCAGACGGCTGTGCTGCTCACACAAAGCTCCTTCGGGTCCCTGGGTTCTCTGTGCTGCCAGCGGGGGCTGCACCTTTCTCTGTGCTGGGTTTTGTGCTTATAAGTTTTCTGTTGCTAAAAAAGGACCAGAAAACCCAAAACCGCAGGCCATAGGATCCTGTCTGTGGTTCCCGTCCCAAACTGTAGTAAGAACTTTTGCTTTTACTACAGACCATGTTTGCGGTTAAACCCCCGGTTTGTTTGCGGTTAAACCCCTGGTGAGGTATTTAAGCTCATTACTTCCTGTCTCCCTGGGAAAGGCCAGCCTTCCAGCGAGGGCTTCACACGGACCTTCCCCATGTGGCCTGGCCCCTCCCTTCATGAGGGTCAGATGGACGGCCTGGGAGGCACCCCATGGGTGGGAACACAACTGTGCCGCTCACTGGGCAAGCCATACAGACCACATGCTGTTGAGGCATGGTCCTCTGAACGGGGCTAGTGGTCCCCCAGACGGGCACTCTGCCGGCCTGGTGAGTGTGGGCACGCTGGGAGAGGTGGAGCAGCGCCCCCTCCCCAGGGACCGCCCGCTCTGGGCGTGGTGCAGGGAACATGGGGACCGGTGAGGAAGCCCGAGATGCAGGTAGTCAGTGGGAATTTCCCTCTTGTTTGAGGCTTCATAGACATTCTGGGCTCAGAAGCTGGAATGCCCTGGTGGGACCCTAGCTCCACTTGAGTGAACACATTGGTTTATGTGCCTGCAACATCCTCTGCTCAGAGGCAGGCTGTGGGGCCAGAGCCACTCTGGGGGCCGCGTGTGTGGGCTACAGGAGTCCTGTCAGGGTGGACAGTCCCTGGGGATGGATGTGGGTAGATTCGCACATGTGGGACAAAGGAGCTCCCTTGGTGCCTAAGCCCTGGCAGTGATCTCTGACTGTAATTTAGGGGGGCAGTGAGCCCCGAGGTCAGTGACCTGTGCTCCGGGCCCGGGCGTTTTCCCCATCCCCACCCGAGTGGAATCTCAGGAGCTATCACTGGTCTGGGTGAACACTTGGTCTGGGTCACTGGTGTCGATGCTTGGTATGCACCGTGGAGCTGTCTGATGGGTGGTGGGCTCCTTCTCCTGTGACTCTGTCCTTCTGACCCCAGGTGTCACATATAAAGAGGTGCTCAGCTTCAAGCCTCCCCGGCAGCTGGGGGCCAAGGTCTCCAAGGAGACAGCCTTGTGAAGACGCCTGGGCCCTGGCTGGGGCTCCACCTGGACGGGAGACCCCGTCTGCCACTGTGACCTTGGCTGAGGCTGGAGGCTCGGGAGTCCCTGTGCTCCACGGAACCTCTCTTGGAAGCCTGTTCCTCTGCTCGCAGACCCCATCTCAGCCTATCCTTGGAGGAGCATCTGGACTTTCTGGACAGGATGCCCACCTGACCTGGGGCTGGGCTCTGACCCTGCCAGCAGCGGGGGTCAGGACGCACCAGAAGCTTCAGAGCCAGTGGGGTTGGACAGGACTTGGGGTCAAGTCCTGGCCTCTGACCCTGCCTTCTCTGAACTGTGCTGAGAAGGAAGGACAGGATGCCGACTCCAGGATGTGTCTCCTGAGTGTGTTGTGTGGACGCTTCTTCACCCCCAGCCTGGAATGTACATTGGTCACATGGTGTGGCTCCTCGGCTGGAGGAAATAAACCCTTTTGTAGGTCCCACTCTGCTTCACTTCCTCATTCCTGGGCTGGAGCTCCACCTTTAGGTTTCTCTTTGGAGTAAGGAGGCTGGTCTGGGAGTTTCTCCTCACCCTGAGCCCCTGGGCCTGGGCAACCCTTCCCTCCCCGGCCACAAAGCTGACCCCCCAACCTCTGTCAGGGAGCCTCAGGCCTGGAGCCCCCGAGGTAGGGTTTGGCCCCGTCCTTCTTGCGCGGTGGTGGCTGTGTAGTCAGTTGCTCAGTCCTGTCCGACTCCTTGCAACCCCATGGACTAGCCTGCCAGGCTCCTCTGTCCATGGGATTCTCCAGGCAGGAACACTGGAGTGGGTTGCCATTTCCTTCCTCTAAGCTTAGACCCTGGAGCCAGATGCAGGGCAGGGCCTGACAGGGGTGAGGGGGTCAAGGTCCAACTCGGGTGTCAGTCCCCAGTATCTGGGGTTCCCGCACTCTCCAAGGCCAGGTTCGTGGGCGGGAGGGTCATGCAAGACACTCTGGCTTCTCAGGGGCCTCTGAGACGCCTGAGCTTTAGCAGAAGGTGGCTTCTGTGCTCCTCTTTCGGTCGCAGGCCCGGCCATTCCCTGCCGCCGCGGGTGAGCCCGCGGAGCCCTCTGCGGGCCGTTGCAGCCTCGCTGATGGGTCAGGGGCCTCCCTGGGGCTCCTCCCGACTGTTTCCCTCCGCAGGTGCGCGCAAGGCGGGATCCGCCCGTCTTCCTTCTCCCGGCCGCGCGCACAGCTGGTTCAGCCGAATATACGGTCAAGACAAGTGACCACAGTGGATACCGCTGTCCGCCCAGGCAGCCCGCGCCTGTGACGCAAGCTTTCAGCCATCTCCGCGGGGCGGGCGGCCGCGGGCCACGCCTCGGCGACCACGTGCGCGGGACCGCCGGTCGGCTCGCGGCTTCCGAGCTGCTCTGATTGGCTCCGGGGCGGGCACGCCTTCCCCAGCCCGGCGGCGGCCAGGGGTCCACGCGGCAGGCACCGCAGCCGGGACGGGGGCGTTTCGAGCAGGCTGCGGGCCGCGGGGCAATGCCAGGGCCTCCCTCTACAGCTGCCCCGCCGTGGGGGTCGTCCCCGTACGGCTGGGGCAACCGAGGACGGGAGTGAGCACGCCTGCCCCGGGTCCCTGCCCCGCCTCCAGATCTCCCGCCGCGGAGACCAGCCCTCGCAGGCCCAGCCATCTCGCCCCCACCCGAGACCGCCTCAGAAAGTCTGCCCTCCAGGCCCGGCCCACAGCCCGCCCCCACGGGCTCAGTCCCCCGAAGCTCTCGGTTTGAGGCTGGGAGACACCCCTCTGTTGGTCCCCTCCCTCGCTTTCCCCACGCGGTGCGGCGCCTGTCCGGCCTCTCAGCCACAGTCCTGAGCCCCGAGTCCCCCGCTTTCCGGCCGAGGGTCTTCCCGGAGCTTCAATCGGACACTTCTTGCGCCTGGGGGGCAACTCTGCGATGCAGCCCTGGCCGGCCTGAGTCCTGGCCCGCTTCCCAGGGCGATGCTCCTCATCGCTTCGCTCCCGCGGACGCTCGTCCCCGCGCTCCTTCCCTTTTCCCTGCGCCCTCGCAGCCGGGCCTCGGGCAGCGCGGGGCGGCGGTGGGCAACCGCTGTGTCTGAGCCGCGGCGCGGGGTCTGGGCGGGCCTGGAGGAGGCCCGGGGCGAGGGGCGCGGACTCGCGTGGCGCCGCCGCGACAGCCCGCGGAGCTTGGGCACTCTCGCCGTCTGGCTCCGCACCCGGCCGCTCCGACTTCCGCAAGGGCGCGAGGCCGAGAGCCCGCCCTTGGCGCCAGGGGAGGGGGAGGGGGAGCCGCCGCCGGCGGGAAGGGAGGCGCGCGGAGCCGGAGTGGCTCAGGCCTGGGCCTGCTCTGCTGCGTCGGGGCGGGGACTGGGGCAGCCGGAGGTGGACGCAGGGCAGCCCCGCGTGGGACGAGACGGAAGCCAGGGCTCTGGAGCTACCCGGGCGACCCCGGCCTGGCTGTGTCGCCAGCTGGGCCTGGGGCCTCCCCGTCTGGGCTTCCTGAGATCCCGCCCAGGCCCCGGTGGCTCCCCTGGCTGCTCCCTGGGGTTGCCACGAGGGGCGGGCGGCGCACTGACCTGCCTGTGAGCGGGATCCTTGGGTCCTGCCCACACTGAGTGGCCCACAGTGACCCCGGGCGGGCCATGGGGACCGCACTTGTGTACCACGAGGACATGACAGCCGCCCGGCTGCTCTGGGACGAGTAAGTGGGGCCTGGCAGAGGGAGAGGCAGGGGGTGAAGACAGAGGCTCTGGACGCTGAGCTCTCTGTCCACTCAGCCCTGAGTGTGAGATCGAGTGTCCTGAGCGCCTGACCACTGCCTTGGAGCACCTGCAGCAGCAAGGTCTGGAGCAAAGGTGTCTGCGGCTGGCAGCCCGCGAGGCCTCAGAGGCGGAGCTGGGCCTGGTGCACAGGTCAGATGGGGGGCAGGCCACGGCCCTGGAAGGCTGGGGCTGTCCCAGCCTGCTATTCCGGCACATAGAGCCTCCCCCCAAGCTTCAGTTTCCCCGTTGTGGGGGTAGGCGAGGGAGCAATGAGGCAGGCAGTCCGTCTCTCCTCTACCTGCTCCTCTTGGTGACCCTGCCTTGCCTGCCTGCCTCTTTGCAGCCCCGAGTATGTGGCGCTGTTGCGGGGGACCCAGGCCTTGGGCACCGGGGAGCTCCAGGCCCTGTCCAAGCAGTACGATGCTGTCTACCTCCATCCGGTGCGTGCCCTGGCTAACCCGCCCCAACCAGTCACACATCCGGTACTTGTGCCTGTTCACGGCCAGCACTCCCGTGTACTGGGCCCTGTTGGCTGCCACTGCAGGTACCCGGGAATGGTGCCCTGTAACCTGGCACAGGCCTTGGTCGAGCCTGTGAGGAGTGGGGGGCCGGGGGCTGACCTGGACCTCTCCCCCGCAGAGTACCTTCCACTGTGCCCGGCTGGCCGCGGGGGCTGCGCTGCAGCTGGTGGACGCGGTGCTGACGGGAGCTGTGCGCAACGGGCTCGCCCTGGTGAGGTGAGCGCGGCACCCCCCTGACCTGCGGGGGGCCCTATGAAGGCACAGTGATCCTGACCTGCCCCAGGCTCACCCCCAGGCCTCCTGGACACCACAGCCAGAGGGCTACTGCCAACGGATTCTGCATGTTCAACAACGTGGCCATAGCAGCCAAACACGCCCAGCAGCAGCACAGGTTGCGCAGGTTTGTGTCAGTCCGGCTGCAGGGTAAGGCCCAGGCCAGACGCGAAGCGGGGACGGAGGTACCTCTTCCCATCCTGGGCCTGGCTCCTGGCCAGGAGTGGGAGGCCCAGACCCTTATTACCGCAGAACTGTCTGTCCCAGGGTCCTCATCGTTGACTGGGATGTCCATCATGGTCAGGGCATCCAGTATATCTTCGAGGATGACCCCAGGTAAGCGGGGGGCTCCCTGCCACCCCACTTTTCAGGCTGAGCCTGGCCTGAGAGGGGAGACACAGCTGTGTGCTCAGCGGCTGCGGGCGGGGGTCAGGGTTCTGCCAGGAGCCCTGAGGCTGAGGGGGCCTGACCCCTGACCTCTGACCCCGGCTGGCTGTTGCAGCGTCCTTTACTTCTCCTGGCACCGCTACGAGCACGGACACTTCTGGCCGCATCTGCGGGAGTCAGACGCCGATGTCGTCGGACGGGGGCGGGGCCTTGGCTTCACTGTTAACCTGCCCTGGAACCAGGTACTGGCCACCGCCCCCCTCACCCAGCCTACGTTCCCCCTAAGCCGTGTGTAGCCCAGGGTGTCCAGCCAGAACCACCCCCAGAAGCCGGGCCTGGGGTTGAAGACCCTGCAGTGCTTCCTGGCAGGACTGCTCTCTTGACTGCAGGTCGGGATGGGAAATGCTGATTATGTGGCCGCCTTCCTGCACGTGCTGCTGCCCCTGGCCTTTGAGGTGACTCTGGAGGGAGTGGAGGGGAATTTGGTGCCCAGAGGCTCCCCTCTCCCCAAAAGAGTGGAACAGGACTCTTAGGGGTTAGGAGGGTCTCTCTGGAGGGGCCTCCCCTCTGCCTCTGTTCCAGCTTCTTTTCTGTCTCTTCCCACCGGACCCTGCCTGCAGTTCGACCCTGAACTGGTCCTAGTCTCTGCAGGATTCGACTCAGCCATCGGCGATCCAGAGGTGAGGGCCTGGCCTGGCTTTGGAGGGCTTCTGGGGCCCCATGCCAGGCCCTCCTCACGCCTGGCTCTGGCTGCAGGGACAGATGCTGGCCACGCCGGAGTGCTTCGCCCACCTCACGCAGCTGCTGCAGGTGCTGGCTGGCGGCCGGGTCTGCGCCGTGCTGGAGGTGACCACAGCGAGGGGGAGGGCGCCTGGCAGAGGCCGGGGTGCTGGCGGAGGTTGCTGCTGTGCGGAGCAGGGCGTCCCGCCTGGGGCCCTGACCGCCCTGCCTGTCATGTCTCTGCTTCCTACTCCTCCTAGGGTGGTTACCACCTGGAGTCCCTCTCCCAGTCTGTGTGCATGACGGTGCGAGCGCTGCTGGGCGACCCTGCCCTGCCCTTGTCAGGGCCCATGGAGCCCCATGGCAGGTGCGGGGCCGAGAGGAAGGAGGGTGGGAAGGGCCGGGGCGGGAGGCCGGGCCTCCTGATCCTGCTTCTCCTCGCAGTGCCCTGGAGTCCCTCCAGCGTGTGCGGGCAGCCCAGGCCCCTCACTGGGTGAGCCTCCAGCAGCAAGGTCAGCCTGACTTGGGTCGGCAGGTGGGATGGCGCCTCAGGCTCCGGTCGGTGGCTGTTACTCTGAACCACCCTGTACCCCTAGGTGCCGCCCCTGTACTGAGCCCCGGCACCCCCTGCCCAGAGGGGAGGCCCTCACCGCTGCCACCGGGGGAGCCCAAATTCAAGGCAGCAGTGACTCAGGCCGCTGATGCTCTGAGCTTGCTCCTGGACCAGCTGCACCTCCACCCCACACCCCCTGTCCGCGTGGCTGTTGCCCTGACTGTGCCAGACGCTGGCCGGGCCCTGCCCCAGGGTGTCCTCTGTGAGGAGGGGTCACTGCCGCGGGAGGAGACGCAGGCCTGGGCCAGGTGGGCAGGGCGGGCCTGGGGGGAAGGACCGGGCTGTGGCTGCACGTGTCTGTGGGACTCAGCCGTGGTCTGTGTGTCATGCCGTGTCCTTGTGTCCCCCTGGTTTGTCCACCATAGACCACGTGAGGCCCTGGCCCAGGACGAGGCCCTCACTGCACTCGGGAAGGTCCTGTACCTCTTGGACAGGATCCTGGATGGGCAGGTGGGGGCAACCGGGAGTCAGGGCAGGGCTGGGTGGTACAGAACCGTGTGGATGTGAGTGTTGCTTTGTACCCAGGCTCCTTCCCAGGACAGCCCCCAGGGTTGGAGTTCAGGAGCACCCCCTCAGTTCCCTCAAGGAAATTCTCTTGGCAGAGAGGTGAAGGGGATGACTTGTAGTTTTAAGCGTCTTGTTTTCAGGAGTGAAGCAGTTGAAGCAATTTGACCTTGAGATTGCACAGATGATACCTCGTAGCCAGGGGCAAAGACAAGACAGATGGGTATGTTTATCCAGCTTGGGAGTTGTCCTTTACACCTGTTACCCACCCCACAGGTGAGCAGTGGCGTGGCAGCCACCCTAGCCCCTGCAGCAGCTGCCACCCTGGATGTGGCCGTTCGGTATGGCCTGTCCCACGGAGCCCAGAGGTAAGCCTCTCCTGGCTGGTCTGAGGCTCCCAGGCAGGGCTCATGGGCTGGCCGTGTGGCAAGGGCTCTGGGAATGGGCTTCAGGTGGGGTGAGTGCAGCTCATCCAGGAGCCAACTCTTCCTCCAGGCTGCTGTGTGTGGCCGTGGGACAGCTGGATCGGCCCCCAGATCTCACCGATGATGGGTATGATCTTGGGTCATGTGTAGGTCCAGTTTCACAAGTAGGGCGGGATGAACGCATCACCCTGGATTCCTGGGTGACAGGTGGGCGGGGCCTTCTGCAGCTGGAATTCCAGAAGGGCCCCATGGGAGCAATGCCAGGAGGGTCTCCAGCATGGAGGGTCAGCAGTCCTAGCATCTCTGCCCCTGAGCTGTTCCTCATCTGTCTGGGCTCTGGAGAGTGGGCGGCATCTCACGCACAAGCACATGTATCCATATGCTTGCTCTCCCCTGGAAGGAGGAATCTATGGCTGAACATTGGGGGCAAGGAGGCAACTGCCCCGTCCACGTTCCACGTCTCTGTGCCACTGCCAGTGGTGAGTGGGGAGTCACAGGGCAGGACAGCTGTGCCCACTGGCACTGGCATGAGGGCCAGACTCCTGGCCTTTATGTGCCCTTGCTTGTGGGACTGGGGGGTGTGAGTGTCTGCCCACCCAAGATTGCGAGGTGGGGTGACCCGAGCTGGCCAGAGTTTCCTGGATGATGGGCCGGGCTATGCTGCTGTCACTCCCATAGACAACTGGTGGGTTCCTGAGCTTTGCCCTGGCCCTGGTGCTGCCCCTGGCCTACAGCTTCCAGCCTGACCTGGTGCTGGTGGCGCTGGGGCTGGCCCATGGCCTGCGGGACCCCCAAGCTGCACTCCTGGCTGCACTACTTCGGGGACCGGCAGGCGGCCGAGTCTTGGCCCTTGTGGATGAGGTGAGTTGGGTGGGGTGGACCTGCTGTGGGATGGGAGGTGGGGAGAAATCAGTGACTCCCTGCTTCCACCTCTGCTGCTGGCCCAGGAATCCACACCCCAGCTTGCGACAGTCCTGGCCAGCGTGCTGAATGGGGAGGCACCCCCTAGCCTGGGCCCCTTCTCCATGGCCACCCCAGAGGACACGCAGGCCCTGATGTACCTGAGACCACGGCTGGAGCCAAGGTGGAAGATGCTGCAGGTGTCTGGTGAGGCTGCAGGGCCAGGCTTAGGCTGAATGCGTGGGGCCTTGGGCGACATCTGCCTTAGGGCTCTGCGGGGAGGAGGCTCACATCCCGGGGAGCGGGGTGCTGCCCTGAACCAGCTCATGGCCCTGTCAAGCAGTTGTGCTCCGCTTCTCAGCGCCTCCTTGAGTGCTGTGACCTGGCAGCTTGAAGTCGGCCAGGGTGAGAGTATCTACACCGTGGAAACGACACTACGCACCAGTCCCCCGGGAGCCTGTTGTTAACTGCGCCAGCACGTCTCTGCGCGAGGCTTCTGACCTAAGAGCCAGGCTGTAGGCCTGCCCAGGACGCGGGCTCAGGGGCTCTACTGCCGGGACCCCCGCTCCGGCGCCAGCCTCTACACGGACGGCCCCTCCCCGGCTCCCTTCTCCCAGCCGTCAGTAAAAGTAGGTTAAGCCAAAGTCCGACTCCGCCTCTTTATTGATCCACGTTTAGTGGACTCGTTCGGTTCTGGCTGAGTTTCCCCACCGGCGGGAACGAGGACCCAGCCCGGAAGTGCCCGTGGACGCGGCCTCCAGGCTCTGCCCCTTGCGCGTGGGCCGCCGGCCCCCGGGTGACGCAGTTCCGGCGCGCTCGCGCTTGCGGTCGGGCTGGTCGCGCGGCGGTGACGCGATGGCGGCGCTGCGCGCGCCTCCTAGGGCTGAGGGGACCCTGAGAAGGCGGGTCAGGCCGCGCGCGCCTTCCTCCGGCTGAGGGCACCACGCTCCGTCCTCGGCGGCACCTCTGTGGTTCGTCGCTTTTTCGGGGTCCTGAGAAGGCGAGTCCGGCTGAGCGCGCGGCCCCGGCGTGAGGTGGAGGCATGGCCAGCGTCCCGCAGCTGGTGGACGACTTGTGTGAGGTCCTTCTGCCGGCAGTCAAGGCTCCCTCGGGCCCGCGCCGCGGGAGCCGCAGGAAGGCCAAGCGGGGCCTCAAGAGGGTGGCCTACGACGCCCTGTTCACGGGCCTCTTTCAGGAGGAGGGCCGCGGGCTGCAGCCCGGCCTCCCGAGGCTGCCGGTGAAGAACAGGATCCTCATGCTGTCCTTCGACCTGCGAGTGGGCGGCCTGGGCGCCGAGGCAGACCGCCTGGAGGAGCTGGTGGAGGGGCTGGAGGCCGCGCCGCGCCAGCCGCTGGCGGAGCTGGGCGCGGTCCTGGAGTTGCTGGTGCGGCTGGCGGGCAGCGGGCCCCCGCGAGTGCGGCGGCGCCGGCGGGGCGTCTTCCTGCACAGCCGGCCGGTCGGGAGAGCCCTTCCCTACGGCGGCTACGACTGCGCCGACTTGAGTGAGTTGGAGGCGGATGTGCGGTCGATCATCTCCGGAGAGGAGTCTCTGTGTCGAGACCTGGTCCGCGAGACGCGGCAGGTGATGGAGGCGGCACCGGGCACCGGACTGCCCGCAGTCGGGCTCTTCTCGTACGGCGACCCCTGCGGGGGCAGGTTTGAAAGGGACACCCGCGTCTCGCTCTTCGGAGCCCTGGTGCACAGCCGCACGGCCGACTTGGACGTCCGCCTGGACCTGCCCCCGGTGCCCGACAGCGCAGACCTCTCCGGACTGGCCATCAAGGTAGAGTGTTTGCTTCCTGTCTCCGGCTCCTCGGGCTTGGGAAGCGCCTCGTTTGACCCTCTTTCCAGTGGGGCAAAGGGAGGACAGCCGGAGTCCCGCACTGGCGCTTGAGCTGTGGGGTGGGGCTGCTGGTGCGGACTCCCAGCGGCCCCCTCCCCGCAGGCGCGAGTGCCATGCCACTGTCTTCTTTTCTCTGACATTCAGTCATTTCTGTTGCCTTCCAGTTGATGTTTAAATTCCCTGATGGCTCAGAGGGTAGAGAATCCACCTGCAGTGCAGGAGACTCGGTTCCAATCCCTGTGTCAGAAGATCCCCGCCTGGGAGAAGTATCCCACTCCAGTATTCTTGTGTGGAGAATTCTGTCCACAGAGGAGGGCTACAGCCCTTGGGGTTGCAAAGAGTCAGAGGCGGCTGAGCACAGCATTCCAGCTAAGTCACTTCAGTCCTGTGCGATTCTTTCCAACCCCGTGGACTGTAGCTGACCAGGCTCCTCTGTCCATGGAATTCTCCAGGCAAGAATACTGGAGTGGGTAGCCATTCCCTTCTCCAGGGAATCCTCCCGACCCAGGGATCGAACCCTCATAGCTTACGTCTCCTGCACTGTCAGGCGGGTTCTACAGCATGGCATGCAAAATGAAGTAAGTCTGATTCCTCCCTGTGTACTCAAGTACTCAGTAGCCATAGGTGCCAAAAATTATGTCTCCTGGCTATCTGTGCAGTGTTATATGCTTTTTTCTGGATGAAGTGGGATTTTTCAGACCTTATTAATCATCATTTGCCTTTGCATTTTATAGCTTTGCTGAAAGGATGTGGTGTTATTGTTCAGTTGTTCCTATAGTGGGAGACATTTACATTGTTTCCAACCATAATGCTATAGCAAACACTTTGGGAGAAGTGGATTTTTCTATGTGATTTTTTTTTTTATGCTGGGTTCCTTAAAATGGAATTTCCAGATCAGAGACATGTTACGGAAAATGTCATTGTAAGTTATTTTGAGGCTCATAAGCCTCAATAAGCTTGTGTCATGTGAAATTGGAAATTGATAATGAATAAATTTAATTTCTTAAATGACTCACTGGTGGCAAAAACATGGTGTAGTAACTTGTGTCCTTGAGAAAAAGAGAAGAAATGTTCTTCCGGGTCTTTCCCATAGAGTGAACGGGAGCGTGTGGAAGGGTTCCTGGAACTCTCCTCACACTGGGGTGGAATCCAGACACCATGCCGCAGGTGAAGTCCTTTTCTCACGGCCTCCAGGTCCCTCCGAGCGTGGATCAGTCGGAAGATGAAGGGTTCCAGTCAGCATCCAATCTGACTCCTGACTCCCAGTCTGAGCCGGGCATGACGCCAGACATTGACCTGTGGGACGCTGTGCTCACCTACGAGGCCAGCAAGCGGAGATGCTGGGAGCAAGTTGGATGGTTTGTGAGCCTTTGCCCTAAATGCAAACCCTGCTCCTCCCCTGCCCTCCAGTGTGGCCTTTTCTCAGCCCAGATTAGAGACTTGGGACTTTCAGTCAAGCTGTGTGCAAGCTGTCTGCCCTGAGGGTTGAGAGAACCACTGGGAGAAACCTATGGAGGTTCCCGCTGAGCCAGTAATGGCTGCGGCTCACGTCCGGGCTGTGGCAGCTCCTGGTCGAGCTGGCAGGCTCTGGTTGGTGCCGGGCGCACGGCGCTGCCAAGGGGGTGCTTCTCACACCTGGGAGGCCTGAGGGAAGCCTGTCCCTGCGGTGCTCCCTGCGATGCTCCCTGCAGGTGGGTGCTCTCATGCCGGGCCTTTCAGCCCGTGGCGTGCTGGCGTCTCGCAGTTGCCCAGAGTGGGGGTAGAGGACCCGTCTCCCACGTGTTTGGGCACCTCTTCTCTGCTGATAGTTCTGGGGGATGCCAGCTTGGGGAGCAGTGAGGGAGAGAGGTGGAGTCTGCAGGGAGCCGAGTGCCTTGGCTCCTGTGGGGCCTCCCTGGGACGAGCATGTGCTCGGGGTGTTACGTGGGCCCTGCTCCTACTGGAGGGGCTTTCCTGGCATGCACATCTTTCCCAGCATGGATTCCCCCAGGCGGGGCCCCTCCCTGCTTCCCCAAACACCGTCGGCTCTGGTGGCTCTCGTCCTCCAGGAGCATCCTTGCCCTATGACTTCCTGTTTGGTCTTCACCTGTCTTGTATGTACACAGCAGATCTAATCACCTGCTGGCTGCAAACCCCTCACAAGTCTGAACATGGCCATCAAGCAGCTACTATTTCCTTTTGTGAATATTCATTAGTGGATTTCATTTGCCAGTTCCCGATTTTCCAGGCTCAGTTTTTCAGATCACTCTTTAGTAGGAGACATGATTGCTCAGCCGGTCAATGTTCTTGTCCGCTTTTGTGAATGCACTTAATCTCATCAGTGTCCCCCTGAAGCAGAACTGACCCCACAGCTCCAGAGTGAGGACTGCTTCTTGGTGTCCCTTCAAGGAGGATGGTGGCCAGTATGTTAGCCTGTGCCCCTGCAGGAGACACTGACCACCCTGCGGCTCTTCCACTGCCTCTTCTGTCATAACCAGATGCCCCTGCCCCTGAAGCCCGTGGCTCAAGTTCATTTGGAGACTCTTGGGAATCTGTTGCAGTTGGATACCAGCCACTTGCTAGTTTCTTGCCAGGAACTCTGACGAATGGGAAGTCAAGGCTTCCTTGGCAGCCACAGCCCTTGATTGTGAAATCTGCCCTTGCGTGAGACCCCCAGAGGACCCCCGCCCCTATGCTTCACTCTGCCAGCCAGCTTGGGTCTCCCTGCTGCTGGCACCTCTGCATCTGTCAGCCTTTCTGGGGAAGTGGTTTTGTGATGTTAAGGGCCAGGTTCTCGGTGGGGACAAGTGTGAACGTGGTGTTCCCTTCACGGGCTTCCCTCCCTCAACCCTCGGTCACCAAGGGGGTTGGCCCTGGGAGAGTGGCCCGAGGCTGGTGCCTAAGTGCACGGGCGCCGCAGCACTGGAGCCTTGGGGGTCCCCGGAGCTCCAGAGGCTCCTCCTCCCCTCCAGCTCTCCCTGCCCCGAGGAGCGCAGCCTGCTGTCGTGGCCTGGCTGGGCCCACCTGCTGGTCTGGACGCTCAGGACTGGCCCGCCTGGCCGTCCTCTGCTTGGCCAGCATCACCTTCTAGGGATGGGGATCGGAGTACGCTGCTCTGCCTGCCACCCTTCAGCCCTGCGCACTGGGACTGGCCGTGGGCCCCTGCCCTCAGCCCTCCCTTGCTGAGCCCAGAGCACCTGGCCCCTTTCTCCTCCTGTCTCCAGGCTTTCACACAGGCCACTCCCGCCCCCAGGGACACTGCTCTGGGCGTGGCCTTGCTCCCCTGGCCTTCTTGTCAGCATCTCCGTTCCCGAAGTCCCTTTAGGGCCCCTCTCCTGGGCGGCACATTACACCTCCTCGCAGCGTGTGTCTCGTAGCGGCGCCGGCCCTGTGAGGCTGGGCTCATCTGCCTGACTGCTCTGGCCCCTGCTTTTGCTGAATGAGCGAAAGAGCACGTTATGGTACACTGCACCATATGTGCACGTTATGGTGCAAGAAGCATTTTTGGTTTGAGCAAGTTCTAAGATTTTTCCTGGGCTGCTTTTATTAAGAACCTACTTCCAGTGGACTTTAAAAAACAGTTCTCATGCTTTCCGTAGGAGTTGATGGTTTCCAAAGGAATATTTAAAAAATGGTGTTGTCTCTTTGGCCTCTTTTGAACAGTGTGACCAGGCTGGTAGATGCTGTTCTTGAACATCCTGCAGAAACCCCGTAGGCAGAGACCCTAGGGCAGGCGGGTACCTGTTTTCTCCTAGAATTTCAGGGAACTTTTGGCTCTGTATGATCTTTGTGCTTTCTTGGGCAGAGAGTGATAAAATCCTATGACATGAAGTTTAACATCTTAACCCTTTTGAAGTTTATATCAGTGGCGTTAAGCACGTTCATGTTAGGTGACCATCACCACCATCCTCTCCAGAACTTTTTCATCCTCCCAAACTGAGACTGTATCTTCATCATACCCATCATACTCTCCATCACTCTCCTCCCGCCCCTGGCCTCCACCATCTCCTTTCTGTGACTGTGACTCTGGGGACCCCAGAGGAGGGGGTCATGCAGCACTTGTCCTCGTGCGTGACTGGGTTAATCACTCAGTGTTACGCCCTCAGGGTTCCTCTGTGTTGTAGCATCTGACACACTGTGTCAGAATTCCTTCCTCCTGAAGGCTGATAATGTTCCTCTGCGTGGACAGACCGCGTCTTTATCCAGCCGTCTACTGATGGACACTTGTGCGGTTGTGACCGTGCTGCTCAGGGCCTGCGTGTTGTTTCCCACGTAGAGGTCATCGCAAACGAGCAAGTCATCAGCCAGAGGACTGCTGTGTGCCCCGTGGGCGCGGGCTGGGTGGGGACACTTTCTGTGCAGTGCTGTCTGATGGGCCTGCTGGACGCAGACTGGGGGTCAGTGGGGAGTCTCACCTGGCCTTAGATATCTCATGCTATTGAGTTGCTCTTTGTCCTGCCTCCTGCTTACCTCAGCTCACTGCCTGCTCTGTCCCTACAGCCCCCCCGGCCACCGAGAGGAGCCCTACCTCACTGAGGCGGGAAGGGACGCCTTTGACAGATTCTGCCGGCTTCGCCAAGGGGAGCTACAGGTGCTGGGCGGGAGCCTCCTGCAGGCCCCACAGCCCGTCCTGGTGAAGGAGTGTGAGCTGGTAAAGGACGCGCTCAATGTCCTGATCGGAGTCGTGTCCGCCACGTTCTCCCTCTGCCAGGTAAGGAGGTGAGGTGTGGCCAGGAAACTGTCTTGGCAGCCTCCCTGGGGATGGTCTTCTTGTTTCAGTTTTAAAAAGTGATTTTCCATGGCTGATTCATGTCAATGTATGACAAAAACCACTACAATATTGTGAAGTAATTAGCCTCCAACTAATAAAAAAAAAAGTGATTTTCCTCATATGAATGGAATCACGAAGTGTTTGTGCTTTTGTGTCTGACTTATTTCATTCAGCATAATGACCTCAAGGGTCGTTCATGTTGTAGTCTGTGTCAGAATTTACTTCCTTTTTAAGCCTAGATAGTATTCTACACATATGTTGTTGTTCAGTCATTAAGTCATGTCCGACTCTTTGCGACCCCATGGACTGCAGCATTCCAGGCTTCCCTGCTTTTCACCGTTCCCCGGTGTTTACTCAGATTCACGTCTGCTGAGTCAGTGATGCCATCTCACCAGCTCGTCCTCTGCTGAGCTCTTCTGCTTTTCCTCTCAGTCTTGCCCAGTGAGTTGGCTCTTGGCATCAGGAGGCCAAAGTATTGGAGCTTCAGCTTCAGTTATCAGTCCTTCCAATGAATATTCAGGGTCGATTTCCTTTAGGATGGACTGGTTTAATTCTCCTTGCTGCCCAAGGGACTCTCGAGTCTTCTCCAGCACCACAGTTTGAAGGCATCAGTTCTTTGGCCCTTAACCTTTTTTATTGCTCAGCTTCTATATCCATCTATGACTGCTGGAAAAACCACAGCTTTGGCTCTTATGGACCTTTGTAGGCAAAGTGATGTCCCTTCTTTTTAATACATTGTCTAGGTGTGTCATAGTTTTCCTTCCAAGGAGCAAGCATCTTTTAATTTCATGACTGCAGTCACCGTCTGCAAGTGATTTTGGTGCCCAAGAAAAATAAAATGTCACTGCATCTACTTTTTCTGCACCTATTTGCCATGAAGTAATGCCACAATCTTATTTTTTTGAATGTTCAGTTTTAAGCCAAGCTTTCACTCTTTTCTTTCACACTCATCAAGAGGCTCTTCTGTTCCTCTTCACTTTCTGCCATTAGAATGGCATCATCTGCATATATGAGGTTGTTGATATTTCTCCTGGCAGTCATGATTCCAGCTTGTGCTTCATCCAGCCTGGCATTTTGCATGGTGTACTCTGCATACAAGTTAAATAATCAGGGTGACAATATACAGCCTTGATGTACTCCTTTCCTAGTTTTGAACCAGTCTGTTTTTCCATGTTAGGTTCTAACTGTTGCTTCTTGACCTGCATACAGGTTTCTTAGGAGACAGGTAAGGTGGTCTGATACTCCCATCTCTTTAGGAATTTTCCACAGTTTTTTATGATCCACACAGTTGAAGGCTTTAGTGTAGTCAATGAAGCAGAAGTAGATGTTTTTCTGGAACCTTCTTGCTTTTCTATGATCCAGTGTATGTTGGCGATTTGCTCTCTGGTTCTTCTCCCTTTTCTAAACCCAGCTTGTACATCTGGAAGTTCTCAGTTCACATACATCTGAACCCTCACTTGAAGGATTTTGAGCACAACCTTACCAGCATGCAAAGTTAGCACAATTATATGGCAGTTTGAACATTCTTTGGCATTGCCCTTCTTTGGAATTGGAATGAAAACTGACATTTTCCAGTCCTGTGGCCACTGCTGAGTTTTCCAAATTTGTTGATATATTGAGTGCAGCACTTTGACAGCATCATCTTTAAAGATTTGTAATAGCTCAACTGGAATTTTGTCACCTCCAATAGCTTTGTTAGTAGTGATGCCTTCTAAGGCCCATTTGACTTCAGGCTCCAAGATGTCAGACTCTAGGTGAGTGACCACACCACTGTGGTTATCTGGGTCATTAAGACCTTTTTTGTGCAGTTTTTCAGTGTATTCTTGCCACCTCTTTTTAATCTCGTCTGCTTCTGTTAGGTCTTTACACTTCTGTCCTTGATCGTGCCCATCCTTGCAGGAAATGTTCACTTGACATCTCCAGTTTTCTTGAGGAGATCTCTAGTCTTTCCCAATCTATTGTTTTCCTCTACTTCTTTGCACTGTTCATTTAAGAAACCGTTCTTATCTCTGCTCACTAGTCTTTGGAACTTTGCATTCAGTTGGGTGTGTCTTTCCCTCTCTCCCTTGCTCTGTGTATAAAGACCACATTTCGTTAGCCATCTATCAGTTGATGGACGCTCCGGTGGACCTCGCCTTCTGACTGTTTGGAACGCTGTGTTGTGGACAGGGGTGCATTCGGCTCTTCGGGGTGCGCTCCTGGGGGTGGGCTTTCCGGGTCCTGTGCTGCTTCTCTTTGGCTTGTTTATTTGGCTGCACCGGGTCTCTGGTGGCATACGGGGTCTTTAATTGTGGCATGCAGGGCCTTTTTAGTTGCAGCATGTGGGATCTAGTTCCCTGACCAGGGGTCGAACCTGGGCCCCCTGCATTGTAGTACAGAGTCTTTAGCCACTGGACCACCAAGGAAATCCCAGTAATTCTGTTAACTTTCTGAGAAGCCAACAAACTATTTTTCACCATGGCTGTACCCTTACACACCCTCCAGCAGTGTGTATTATTCTAGGGTTCCAGTTTTCTACATCCTCACCAATACTTGTTATCCCCCCACTCCTTTTTTGGTAAATAATAGCTGTCCCAGTGGGTGTGAAGTGGTGTCTCATTATAGTTTTTTTCCCCAAAAATCCAAATGCTTAATTTTTTAATTGGAGGATGATTGCTTTTCAGTGTTGTGTTGGTTTCTGCCATACAACAATGAGAATCAATCATGACTGTGTGTGTGTGTGTATGTGTGTGTATCCCTTCCCTATTAAGTCTCCCTCCCACCCCTCACCACCAATCCCCCCCACCCAGGTTGTCACAGAGCCCTAGGCTGGGCTCCATGTATGATATAGCAGCTTCCCCCTGTTCTGTCCTGCGTGCTCAGTCATGTCTGACTCTCTGAGACCCCATGGACTGTAACCTGCCAGGCTCCACTGTCCATGGGATTTCCCAGGCAAGAATAGTGGAGGGGGTTGCCATCTCCTCCACCAGGGGATCTTCCCCACCCAGGGACTGAACCCACGTCTCTGGCGTCGCCTGCAGTGGCAGGTGAATTCTTCACCACTAATGCCACCCACTAGATATCTGTTTTATACCTGGTAGTGTATGTATGTCTCATTATAATTTAGATTTGCATTTCCATCATGAGTACTGCTCCTGAGCACTTTTTCATTTGTATATCTTTTTTGGAAGAAAGTCTATTCTAGTCCTTTGCCTTTTTTTGGGGGGGGGGGGGGTCAGAGAACAGAAATGTGTTTTCCCACTGTTCCAGATGCTGGCGGTACAAGGGTGAGGTGCTCACAGAGTGAGCGTCTCCTCAGCCTGCAGACCGCTGCCTCCTACTGTGCTGTCACCTGCCCTTTGCCCGTCTTTGAGTTGGGCTCTTGAGTTGTAGGAGTTCTTTATGCATTCCGGATATTAATCCCTTACCAGATATATGATTTGCAAATATTTTCTCTCATTCTGTAGGTTGTCTTTTGACACTCTTGATAGTATGCTTTGAAGTACAAAGTTTAATTTTGATGAAGTACAGTTTATTTTCTTCCTTTTGTTGCCTATACTTCTGGTGTCATATTTAAGACCTCTCCAAATCCAAGGCCTCTATGTTTCCATGTTTTCATCCAAGAGTTTCACAGTGTTGGATTTATTCTTTTTAAAATAATTTCATTTATTTATTTATTTTTGGCTGCACTGGGTCTTCATTGCTCTGCTCAGGCTTTCTCTGGTTGCAGCGAGCAGGGCCTACCTACTCTTCACTGTGGTGCTCAGGCTCCTCACTGCGGTGGCCTCTCAACAAGCAGAGCATGCGCTCCAGGTGCGCGGGCTTCAGCGGTCGTGGCCTCGGCGGTCGTGGCTATCAGGCTCCAGAGCACAGGCTCAGCAGTGGTGGCCTCGGCAGTTGTGGCCTCAGTGGTCGTGGCCTCGGCGGTTGTGGCTCTCAGGCTTCAGAGCACAGGCTCAGCAGTGGTGGCCTCGGTGGTTGTGGCCTCGGCGGTCGTGGCTCTCAGGCTCCAGAGCACAGGCTCAGCAGTGGTGGCCTCGGCAGTTGTGGCCTCGGCGGTCGTGGCCTCAGCGGTCGTGGCTCTCAGGCTCAGCAGTGGTGGCCTCAGCAGTTGTGGCCTCGGCGGTCGTGGCCTCAGCGGTCGTGGCTCTCAGACTCCAGAGCACAGGCTCAGCAGTTGTGCTGCATGGCTCATTTGCTCCTCCACATGTGGGATCTTCCCGGACCAGGGATTGGACCCTGCACCCTGTACCGGCAGGTGGATTCTTATCCACTGCGCCACCATGAAGTCCCATAGTGTTAGCTTTACAGTTTAGATATTTGATCTGTTTTGAGTTCATTTTGCATTTGGTGCGGCTTTAATCTTTTGCATGTAGATATTCTGTTTACCCAGCACCCTTTGTTGAAAAGACTCTTCTTTCCGCATTGTATGGTCTTGGTATCCTTATGCATTAATTGACTATATGTGAGTTATTTATTTCTGAACTCTGTTCTGTTCCATTGATCTTCATGTTTGTCCTAATGCCAGTCCTGCGATATTTTTTTGTGCTATTTTTTTGTGGCCACACCCCTCACCTTGCAGGATCTCAGTTCCCTAACCAGGAATTGAATCCAGTTCAGGGCAGTGAAATCCGTAATCTAACCACTAGGCAAACCAGGGATGTCCCCCAGTTCTACACTATTTTGATGACTAAAACTTAGTAGAAAGTTTTGACCTTGGGAGGTATGAGTTCTCCAGCTTTTTTTTTTTTTAAGATTGTTGTGGTTATTTGGGGCCCTTTGCAATTCCGTATGGATTTTAGGGTGAGTTTTTCTATTTCTGCTAAAAGCATCATTGGGATAATGATATGGGTGGCACTGAATCCACAGGGTGCTTTGGGTGAATCATTATGTATTTAAGTATCTGTTTTATCTATTTGGCTGTGTCAAGTGTTAGTTGCAGCATGATGAATCTTCATTACAGCTTGTGGGGTCATTCACTTTTGCGAGTGGGCTTAGTTGCCTGTGGCATGGGGGATCTTAGTTCCTGGACCAGGGATTGAACCTCTGCCCCCTGCAGTGAAAGCACAGAGTATTAACCACTTGACTGCCAGGGGAGTCCCTGGGTGTATTATCCTGACATTATTAGATACTCCAGTCCATGACCATGGGATATCTTTGCATTTATTTAGGTCTTTAATTTCTCTCAGCAGTGTTTTCTAGTTTTTACTTTAACAAGTCTTTTGCCTCCTCAGTTAAATTTACTTACGTACTTTTTCTTATATTGTACTTCTAAACGGAATTATTTCTAAAGTACTTTCCTTTTTTGGATTGTTCATTGCAAGTGTATGGAAATACAAATGATTTTTGTATGTTGGTTTTGTATTCTGGTACTTCGCTGAATTCATTTAACGGCTCTAACACATGTTTTGTGGATTCTTTAGCATTTTCAGTATATAAGATCATGTCACCTGCAAATAGATCATTTTACTTCTTCCTTTCCAATCTGCATATTAAAATTTCTTGTTGACTACCTGCTGTGTCTGGGACTTCAGTATTACGTTGAAGAGAAGTGGTGAAAGCATGCGTCCTTGCCTTGTTCCTTATCACGGGGAGAAGCTTTCAGTCTCTCTCTCTTTCAGTACAGCATTATACTATACTGAGTATAATGCGAGCTGTGGATTTTTCACACACAGTCTTTATCCTGCTGAGCCAGTTCCATTCTTTTCCTAGCTTTTTAAGTGTTTTTAATTGTGAAAAGGTGTTGTTCAGTTGCTCAGTCATGTCCGACTCTTTGCAGCCCCATGGACTGCAGCATGCCAGGCTTCTCTGTCCTTCACCATCTCCGGGAGCTTGCGAAAACTCACGTCCATTGAGTCAGTGATGCCATCCAACCATCTTGTCCTCTGTTGTCCCCTTCTCCTCCTGCCTTCAATCTTTCCAAGCATCAGGATCTTTTCTAGTAAGTCAGCTCTTTGCATCAGGTGACCAAAGTGTTGGAGCTTCAACTTCAGCATCAGTTCTTCAGTGAGTATTCAGGATGGATTTCCTTTAGGATTGAATTGATTTCTGTCAAATGCTTTTCTTGCATCAGCTGAGCTGATCATATGTATAATTTTTTCCTTCATTCTATTAATGATTTATTACATTGATTTTTGTATGTTGAACTACCCTTGCATTCCTGAGATAAAACCCACTTGGTCATAGTGTATAATTCTTTAACATGCTGCTAGATTCAGTTTGTTAATGTCATCTCAAAGATTTTTGTATATGTGTTCATAAGGGATGTTGGACTGTAGTCTTTCCTTGTAATGTCTGTATCTTTCTTTGGCATCAGGACAATACTGACCTCTTAGAATTAGGAAGTGTTCCTCTTTAAGTTTTGGAAGAGTTTAATAACAATTGATGTTCTTTAATTGGTAGAATTTACCAGTGAAGCCATCTGGTATTGGACTTCTCTTTTTTGGGTTTTTGTTTTGTTTGTTTTTTTGGGGGGGTTTGTTTTATTTTGTTTTCTTTAAATCTTAAAATTCACATGACATTAACATGTCATGTCACGTCAGTGGCAGCCTGCTGGCAGAAGGCTTTCTGTCTCCTGTGCCCTCCCTGTGTGTCTGGGTTTGGGGCACCTGGCCTCGGGGTGCTCAGGACAGTGCCGAGTTTGGGTGCCTGGGTGGAATGGGAGGCAGCCCCACCCCAGTGACCTCCCTTTCGTCCTGTCCAGCCAGCTCAGGCCTTCACGGTGAAGCGGGGTGTCCATGTCTCAGGAGCATCCCCCGAGAGCATCAGCAGCCTCCTCTCCGAGGTGGCGGAGTGCGGGACCCACTACGCGCGCCTCAGCCACTTCTCCCTGCAGCCCGTGCTGGACTCCGCCTGCAGCAAGGGCCTCGTGTTCCAGGTGCGGCCCCGCTTCTCGCTGCTGCGGGGCCCCTGCGCTGTGCGCAGGCCTGCCCCGGGGCCTCTGAGCCGGACCGTGCTCCTCAGCGATGTCAGAGCCTCTCAGTGGCCCTGTGGGAATGGTGGCCAGGGACCATGTCTTGCCTGGCCCATCACTGCATGGAAAACTGGGTGGACGTGTTGGGGCCGTGAGAGTGTGGGAGGCAGCTGTGCTGGGTGCTGGGGCCGGGGGCCAGCCTGTGGTGTGGAGGGAGCACGTGCTGCCTGGTCCCCCTGGCGCGGGACTGAACCAGGTCTGCCTGAAAGCCTTGTCGTCGGTGCCCGCTGGGCAGGCCCCCAGGACAGTGGGCAGCTGTCGGGGGGCGTGTGGCCTGAGAGAGTGCAGGCACTGGGCTGGGCCCTCTGTACTCGGGCATCGCAGCAGGGCTGCTGGGGTGATGTGATGAGGTTCAGATTCTAGGATGGGCCTGAGCGGGGCTGGGAGTGCGGAGGGAAACCCAGACAGGACTGCCGTGTTGACTCTCAGGGATGGAGGGCAGGACAGCGGTCTCCTGGGTGCCTGATGTTTGCTCTGGAGCGCTCCAGCAGAGCTCCTGGAAGTATGTGAGCTGCACTGGGGCCACGCTCCTGGGCACTACCCCAGACACCAGTGTCCTCGGGACCCCAGTGGCCTGAACAGCCAGAGACCCTCTGGGAGTTGGCGTCCGTGCGCACAGCCCAGCTGCCCAGGATCTGCAAGGTCCAGATTTCTGGTGCAGCTGGCCTGGGGGGGCTTGCAGTGGGCTTGGGCTTCTGGCTGGGCTGGGTGTCCGCATGTGACCCAGATGCCCATTCCTTGGAAATGGAGCCCAAGGCTTGGGGGTGGAGGCCCAGCTTTCTCCCGCACCCAGGCTGCTCTCTGGTTCTGAGCTTCCAGCCCCTGCCCCACAGGCCTTCACCAGCGGCTTGAGGCGGTACCTGCAGTATTACCGCGCTTGCGTGCTCTCCACCCCGCCCACCCTGAGCCTCCTCACCATCGGCTTTCTCTTCAAGAAGCTGGGCCGGCAGCTCAGGTTAGCCTCGGCGTGCGATTTGGTGGCTGGTGAGGCAGGCATGGGCCATGCCGGGTGGTGGGCGGCCTCCTGGTGGGCGTCTGGATGACCCTTGACCCAGCTGAGTTTGTGAGGCCCAACCCAGGATCAGGGCTTCTGCCTGACAGGCACACAGGGTCCCTACAGACAGACCTGGTGCCTGCCAGTGAACATGGGCAGAGTGCCTGCTTGCAGGTGCCATCTGGAGAAGGGAGAGTGGAGGACTAGGAGTTGGGGGGTGGGTTCAGTGGAGAGGAGTTCCTGTAGGCAGAGGGGAGGAGTGCGGAGGCTCCGGGGCTAGAGAAGGGGCGCCCGGTGTGGGGGGGGGAGGCTGAGCCTGGAGGTGTCTGGAGGGCGCGATGGGAGCACAGCCTGGAGTGGGATGGTGAGGTGGGGGTCCCAAGGGGACTTGGTAGCCATTCAGGATGGTGGAGGTGGTGACCTGGGGGAGGTGGTGGGTGCTGGAGGGGGTCTTGAGGGAGAGCGGCAGGAGTGGGGAAGGGTCGTGGACTGAGTCTTGGCCAGACCTGGGAAGGAGGCGGGGATGCATGGGGTCCCTGGGAGGGGTCTGACAGGAAGCTCAAAGCTGAGCTGCTTGAGGTGCAGGCGGTTTTAAAGCTGGACCATGTGGACGGCAGGGGAGGGCCTGGCTTCTCAGCTCACCTGGCCTCCCTGCATCTGTGTGCAGGTACCTGGCTGAGCTCTGCGGTGTCGGCGCCGCGCCCCCCGGCTCTGGCGGAGGAGAGCCCAGGGCTGCCTTCCCCACGGTGAGGGCTGGTAGGCTCCGGGGAGGGCAGGGCCCCCCTGCTGCGTGTGGTGTAGCTGAGCCCCCCCTGCCGTCTGCAGGGTGTGAAGCTGCTCTCCTACCTCTACCAGGAGGCCCTGGACAACTGCAGCAACGAGCACTACCCAGTCCTGCTGTCTCTGCTCAAGACCAGCTGCGAGCCCTACACGCGGTGGGGCGGGGCGGGGCGGCCCCGGGGGCGGGGCCACGCGCAGCAGCGGCAGTGGAGGGGCAGGATGGGTGGGCTTGGACTGCCGCTCCCCACTCGCAGGGCGGAGCTCTCTACCCTGTGGACGTCACGCCCAGCTCACCTCCCCCTTCCCACACACGCTCAGGTTCATCCACGACTGGGTGTACAGTGGGGTCTTCAGAGATGTTTACGGCGAGTTCATGATCCAGGTGAACCACGAGTACTTGGGCTTCAGAGGTAGGTGGGAGCTGCTGCCGGGCGGGGACGCCGCCATCGGCCGGGTCAGGGCCGCGCTGGTCGCAGGCCTGAGCGAGCCGTCCCACACGCAGACAGGTTCTACTGGACGCATGGCTATGTGCTTATTTCCAAAGCGGCAGAGGACTGTGTCCCTGTGTTTCTGAGCCACATCGCCCACGACGTGTACGTCTGCGGGAAGACCATCAACCTGCTGAAGCTCTGCTGCCCCCGGGTGAGGGGCGAGCGGCTGCCCACTGCCAGCCCCACGCTGCCAGCCCATCTGCCCTTAGCCCGGTCCATAGTGTTCCAGCCAGGGTGGGGTGACCTCAACCTCAGTCCCCTTGAGAGTTTCATGAGCGGCTCTGTTGAGTTTCTGGTGTTCCTTCAAAGATGGGAGGAAAGCTGAAGGCCTTTCAGAGGCCAAAAGGGCAGTGGGCTCCTCCCCCCCCCCCCCACCTTGGAAACAGTCCTAGAGGGATGGGAAGGGCTGTGTCCGTAGGAGGATGGACCCAGGAGTCATGTGAGGGGTCCCAGGATTCGGCTGTGCTCTGGAGCAGAGCCCTGAGCTGGTGTCCATGCAGCCAAGGCCCCTGGAAGATGGCCAGTGGCAGTGGGTGGGATGGGCGGCCCCTGCAGGAGGTGCTGTCTGGTGTCTGGACAGGCTGGCAGGTGTGGACTGGGGGCTCCCGGCAGTGCAACAGCCAGGTTCAGGCCAGAGCCGGGGGCAGCGGCCGGCCTAGTGCAGGGTTGAGAGGAGCAGGCTGGAGTGGCCAGGATGGGCTCAGGGCTGGCTAGGGGGGCCTCCAGTATCCATGCGCCCCAGCAGCTGCCCAGGTGTTGGCTCTGGGGGCGGGGCTCCCATGGTGGGTGGGGCTACATGTGGGCTCGGCTGGGAGTGGGCTGGGCTGACCTCAGGGAGGCCTTGGGTGTGTCTGGGCCTTCCCTCCTTTCCTGGGAGCCAGTCCTGGCCTCTGCTGCAGGGCGGCCTGGCCCTGGGCAGAGACCCACACCTGCTGTTGTGGAGCTGTGAGGGTGTAAGTGAGGACCACAGTACTCCCGAGCAGGCTGTCCACATGGGTCACAGGCGGGAGGCAAGGTGGGCTGTGTCCGAGAGCCCCTGGGCTCACGTGCCCCGCCCCCCCACAGCACTACCTCTGCTGCTCCGATGTCCCGGTCCCGCGCATCTCCGTGATCTTCTCCCTCGAGGAGCTGAAGGACGTCGAGAAGGACTGCGCCATCTACGTGGGCCGCATGGAGAGGGTGGCGCGGCACAGCTCCGTCAGCAAGGAGGAGAAGGTGAGGGCGCCGCAGCCCGGCCTTCCCAGGCCCTCTCCTCCCCTCCCGGGCGGTCCGGGCGCCGGGCAGCCCCATCCTGGCCAGGCCGTGGCTCCAGGGCAGCAGGGCCTGAGGCTCCTGGCCTCAGTGGCTTCCTTGAGCCCCCGTCCTGCTCAGAAGGGTCAGGTGCACTGAGGCCCGAGCTTTGAGCGTCCTATGCCCTGGGGAGGGGTTGATGCAAAGTCCTGGCACATGTAGGCAGCAGGAAGCTGTGGGCGGGGCAGACCCCTGAGAACCAGTCGTGTGGAGGGGCGAGCCCTGGGGGTGCAGGGGGCTGGCCCCTGTGGGAGGCCCAGCCTGGCCCCCTCCAGGGTGGGCGTGAAGGCTGGGGTCTTGGCCCCGGATCGCTCTGAGAGAGGGTGTCACCTGCTTGGGGACCAGCCTCACCGCCGTGCAGGACGGGCGCGGCACCCCCAAACCCAGTCTGCGTAGACCCCTCCCCCTGGCTGTCCCAGGGATGGGGGGGTGAAAGGTCAGACGTATCAGTCACTGGTGGTCTTTTTCAGGAATTACGGATGGAAATTGCAAAGCAGGAATTAATTGTCCAGGCCCGGGAGGCAGCGTCCAGGGTCCTGCAGGCGCTCAGCGGTGCGTGTGGCTTGCCTGCCTCTCCGTGTCGGGGGCCACCTGCTGGGGCTTCTCACCACGGCCCCTGACTGTCTTGTTGCAGATCGGCAGATGTCGGAGCGAATGGCCTCGGATGCCCGCAAGCGAGAGCAGTTCCAGAGGCTGAAGGAGCAGTTTGTGAAGGACCAGGAGGTGGGTGGGCAGGTGGGGGGTGGGGTGGGGGGAGTGCAGGCTCGAGAGGTCAGCTTCACCAGCGGGGACACGTGGGGTGTTCTGCAGCGACGCCAAGCGGCCAGGCAGGAGGAGCTGGATGAGGACTTCAGCTATGCCCGTGAGCTCCGGGATCGGGAGAGGAGGCTGAGGGCCCTGGAGGAGCAGCTGGAGAGGAAGGCCAGGTGGGCGGCTGGGGGTGCCGTGCCGCTCCGGGTCAGCCTTCCTGGACGTCGTGGCTGGTTTGACTTTTGTGATGGTCAGTTACCTTTTGTCAGTATTTTGGCACCTTTCAGGTGTCTGTTTAGGCAGGAGGAGTAGCGGTCTGAACTCGGTCTTCTTGCAGTTGCTCTGTGTGGACTGGGATCCAGGCTCGGTCCACATGCTGTGCTTGTATCTTGTCTCTATCTCTTTGTTACCTTTAAGTTAAACTGCCTCTGTTCCTTAAATTTGTCTTTAAACCTGTTAGTAGCCTGACTGAGAGGCAAGGGATTTACCCAGCACGGCGTCCGGGAGTCTGTCTTGTGCTGTGACCTCCCTCCCTGCATTTCCTGCGAGCTGGCAGCACAGCTGGCACCTCAGAAGGAGCCCCTCCCTTTCCTCATCCCCCGGTCAGTGGTCCTGACCCCGGGGACTGTTCATGGAGCTGTGACAGAGCCAGTCAGTGCTGAGTGCACGTGTGTCTGTGTGCATTCATTCTGACTTGGGTGTGTACACATGTGTGTGTTGAGTAGATGTTATTCTCTTGTTTACATGTGGAGGAAACTAGGTGTGGAGGGTGTGTCCCTGGCCTGTGGCAGCTGAATTAAAAATGGCCAGTCTGGGTGTGAAACCAGCTTCGTGCTGGTGAGAGGGTCCCCACCATTGGGTGTAACATGGCCAGCTTTGAATTAAGTGAGATGTTCCCACTACCCCATGCCCTTCGCATCACCTCTCGGTGCTCTGGAGCTGGCACGGCAGCACAAGAACCGCCGGCAGTGAGGGCCGAGGTCGCGCCTCTGAGAGGGTGTGGGCCCCTGGCCCAAACCGACCCCTGTGCTTCGGGCTGTGGGGAGGCTTTTTCTGGGGTTTGCTCTGGGTGACTTCACTGTGCCTGCCTGCCAGGGGCTCCCATTTGGCAGGGAGGCAGAGACCTGCCCAGTGATGCCCTGCAGGTGTTGTGGGGGCTCCAAGGGGCCAGCTGCCCACCTGGGGAAGGTGTTCGGGGGTAGGCTTCCCATCGGGGGCCCCCCCCGCACGGGGCACTGGCTGGACAGTGGGGTGACTGGTGACCCGTCCTGTCTGGGTGGCTGCAGGCAGGCGCTGGTGGATCATTACAGCAAGTTGTCTGCAGAGGCGGCTCGTCGGGAGCAGAAGGCACTGTGGAAGGTCCGGAGGCACAGGCTGGCCAGCGCGCGGCTTCGTTTCTTCCTGGAAGATGAGAAGCGCGTTCAGGTGTTGCCACTTGTCACCCAGGAGCTCTTCCCTGGGCTCTCGGGGACTCAGGAGCCCTGGAGTCACACACAGACCCACATGTGCCCATTGCGGGGTTAGGGTGGCACTCTCACCAGGTGCTCAGAGGGGCATGACCAGCAGAGGCTGGGCTGCCCTCAAGTGACACGGGCGGCGCGGAAAGCCAACCAGGCTCTGGGCGGCTGTGTGAACCCCGCCCCGCTGGCAAGCGTGGTGCCGGGGCTGCGTGAGTCCCGCTGCGTAGGCGCTCCCCGCTCACGTCCTGCTGGTTCTGTTTCAGGGGATGCTAGAGGCCGTGGCCAAGGGGAGGCCCCTAGAGCAGCTGGCCGTCCTCCCTGGTGCCTGCTCCCAGACAAGTGCCCACTCACGGGCAGGGGACCAGGTAGGACCCAGGCCACGGAGAGTGGGCTCTGAGTTGGCTGCCCCAGGCCTGGCATGTGTCCCCACTGTCCCCTTTCATGGGCTTGAGTATTGGGTGTAGAACTGAACCTGGAGGACAGAAGCAGACACCAAGGGGAACCCATGTACACTTGTGTTTCAGGTCTCCTTTCTGGGCCCTGCGCCCGCTGATAGAGGCAGCAGTTGTGACCCCAAGTGTGAGGAGCCACGGGAAGCGGCACCGGCCGGCCCTCATGGGCAGAGCGCACTCAGGCTGCAGCCCCTCGAGTCTCCAGGAGCTGGGGCCCGTGGTGCGGGGCCAGGGGCAGGCCTGCTGTGTATGCAGGCAGAGGAGCCGGGGCCGTTCTCCGCGGGCCTCAGCCTCAGAGACTTCCTGCCCGTGGCCCAGGGGACCGAGCCTGGGCTCAGCGGCTCGGCCCCTGTCCTGGAAGACGCACTGCAGACCATTGGCTCCGCCCTGCCTCCCGTGGCTCCGTCCACAGCAGTGGACTTAGCACCTTTTGGGCCACAGGAGTATGACTTCAGAACCATCCTGAGGCCCACTGTGGCTGCCCCAGGTTCTGCGGGGGCGCTCAGCCTGGGCAGCAGAGGGCAGCAGCTGCTGGAGGACACTCACGAGCCACTGGACACCTGTGGCCCGGACCCCCCGCAGCACCCCTCCCCCCAGGAGGAGTGCTGTCCGGCCACGGTGCAGGTCCTCGGGGCGGAGCCTGGTGTTCCCAGAGGGGGCTGGGTTTCTGGAGTGACCCCCTCCCGGCCACGGTGGAACATCCATGGACACGTGTCTGATGCCAACATCCGGGTGGGGGAGAATGTGTGGGACGTGGTCCCCTCCCGGCCACGGTGGAATGTCCACGGACACGTGTCTGACGCCAGCATCCGGGTGGGGGAGAATGTGTGGGATGTGGCCCCCTCCCGGCCACGGTGGAATGTCCACGGACACGTGTCTGACGCCAGCATCCGGGTGGGGGAGAATGTGTGGGATGTGGCACCCTCCCGGCCACGGTGGAGCGTCCATGGACACGTTTCTCAGTCCAGTGTGACGCTGGGGGTGCTCTCGGGGGAAGCCGAGCCCAATTTGCCCAGGCCCCCATTGGGTCACCCAGACTCCGGGCCCCAGTTGGGCCTCAGCTCGGGAGTCCAGGAACACACGCTGCAGCTGCCTGTGGAGACAGCCTCAGGCAGCTCCAGTACACAGGTGGCTGGACCAGACCCTGGTTACAGGGAGGAGGGTGGCCCCCAGGCCTCGCTGTCTGCTGAGGCTGTACCCGCTGCTCTGGGAGATGGCACCCTGGAAGAGCCAGGTCAGTGGGACCCAGAGCTGTCCTGCCCCTGGGGGCGTCTGTGAGCCCAGGACAGGGCGGCCGGCAGGGGGGCGGGGGTGGTTCTGCCCTGTTGCAGGCATTTGGTCCTGACCCCCTCTCCTGCCCCATTTCTTCTGCTTAGGCGTGGGGATGAGTGAGGACTCCAGGGACCTCTCTCTCTGCTCACAGGTCAGGGGTCGGGGGGGGTGTGCTGGGCCTTTCATGGGCAGGGAGGGCTCCGTCCTGGGACTGGGTGACAGGTGGCGGGGGGAGGTTGTTCTGCCTGCCTGCTTGTTCCTCTCCCACGAGGGAAGGAGGCGGGTTCCTCGAGGCTGGGTCGTCTTAGGAGGATGCAGATGTCCAGAGCAGCCCTGACCCTGGCGAGGCGGCGGCCCAGCGCTGGGACCGGGAGCAGGCCTACCTGGCGGACCTGGCGGGGCAGTACCGCCTGGAGCAGTACCCGGATAGCTATGAGGCCATGTGTGAGTGGGCCGGCCACGGCAGGCGGGCAGAGGCAGTCTGGCCCCATGTCCCTGGCGCGTCACTGCAGTCTGTCACCCCGCAGCGGAGCCTCCCGTCGCCCGCCTCCTGCACCACGGGCTTCCCCGAGCCTTCGCCCTCCCGGAGGACACTGGGGTCCCATCAGACGCGGACGAGAGCGCTGTGCAGCTGAGCGAGCTGCTGCCGCTGCCTGTGCTCATGAAGCACTCCGTTACTGCCCCGCTGGCTGCCCAGTGAGCGCCTGCCCACCCCGCCCCGCCGTCCCCGCCTCGCCCGGCCCCTGACGGTCAGTAACGCCAGGCTCCTCTCGCCAGCGTTTCCTTGGTGAACAAGGCGGTGGTCGACTACTTCTTCGTGGAGCTGAACCTTGGGGCGCACTTTGAGGCGCTGCGGCACTTCCTGCTGATGGAGGACGGGGAGTTTGCCCAGTCCCTCAGCGACCTGCTCTTCGAGAAGGTGAGCCCAGGCGGGCCAGGCGCCAGAGGGGCGGCGGGCAGGCTCTGGACGCTTTGGGACTCTCTCTCCTGTCCCTGCAGCTCGGGGCGGGGCAGACGCCCGGGGAGCTTCTCAGCCCCCTGGTGCTCAACTCGGTGCTGAGCAAGGCCCTGCAGTACAGCCTGCATGGCGACAGCCCGCATGCTGCCAACCTCTCCTTCGCCCTCAAGTTCCTGCCTGAGACGTTTGCCCCCAACGCCCCAGACGTGCTGAGCTGCCTGGAGCTCAGGTACAAGGTCAGCAGCGCCCCCTGGCGCGGGCGGTGGGGGTAGTCCCAGGACGCAGCTATGCTGAGCCAGCCTCCCTGGCAGGTCGACTGGCCCCTCAACATCGTGGTCACCGAGGGCTGCCTGAGCAGGTACGGTGGCATCTTTTCCTTTCTGTTGCAACTGAAGCTTATGATGTGGACGCTCAAGGACATCTGCTTCCACCTCAAGCGCACAGGTGAGCCTGGTGGGCCCGGGGCGCCCGCGCTGCCCGCAGCTGTACTCACTGTGCACCGCCCCCCCACCCCCCCGCAGCGCGCGTGAGCCAGGCGGCCGGCTCGGTGCAGTTCCGCCAGCTGCAGCTCTTCAAGCACGAGATGCAGCACTTCGTCAAGGTCACCCAGGGCTATATCGCCAACCAGATCTTGCACGTCAGCTGGTGCGAGTTCCAGGCCAAGCTGGCCTCGGTGGGCGACCTGGAGGAGATACAGCGCGCCCACGCCGAATACCTGCACAAGGCAGTCTTCAGGTGAGGTGCGGGCCTGTGGCGCGCCCCCGGCTCAGGCGCACCCACCGCAGTCCCCGCCTCCCCCAGGGGCCTGCTGACCGAGAAGGCGGCGCCGGTCATGAACGTCATCCACAGCGTCTTCAGCCTGGTCCTCAAGTTCCGCAGCCAGCTCATCTCCCAGCCCTGGGGCCCGGCTGGCGGCCCGCGGGGCCCCGAGCACCCGAACTTTGCCCTCATGCAGCAGTCCTACAGCGCCTTCAAGTACTACTCCCGTTTCCTCTTCAAAGGTGAGGCACCCCCGGCGGCCGGGGGCTGGGGGCGGTACCGAGCCGCGCACTGAACCTGCACCCCCCCCCCCCCCCCAGTGGTGAGCAAGCTGGTGAACCGCGGCTACCAGCCCCACCTGGAGGACTTCCTGCTGCGCATCAACTTCAACAACTACTACCAGGACGCCTGAGCCCCCGGCTCGGCCGCAATAAACATGTGCCCGCACTCCAACCTCTGTCTCTGGGGCGGGCGGGGGCAGAACCACCACGCGGGACCACTGAGGAGGCTGCCGGTTTATTGGGGGGCCTCATCCTCCCACGCCATCCCCGCCAGGTGGCCAGGTGGGCGGAGGCTGAGCGGCCGGTCCTCGGGCCTGTGTGGTGCCAGCGTGGGGCACCTGTCGTGGGGAGCAGAGCCTGGGGCAAGGGTGGCGAGTCAGCGTCGGGCAGAAACGGGTCAGGTCCTGACTGGACGTCTCCACCGTCACGGAGAGACGGCGGGGTGGGGGGGGCCGCCTCGTGGACTCAGGGGTTCGGCCCTGGGGTCTCCTGCGCGGAGCCCCCAGGGCGGTTACGAGGATCACGTCACGCACAGCTCCGCCGCCCAGAGCGGGGGCTTGCTGCTATAGGAGCGCCGCCGGTCGGCTGCCCCGCGGGGCTCGGCCGCCTCGCTGGCCTCCTCGGGCTCGGCGGCCTCCACCTCCCCGCCGTAAGGTGTCTCCAGCAGCTTCAGCACCCGCCGCACCTGCAGGGGGGCGGAGGGGGGGCGGCTATTGGGGGCCGGGCTCCTCCGCAGCCCGGAGGGTGAGGGAGCGGGCGGGCGGCACTTGCCTCCGAGAAGTCGCCACTCTCCGCAGCTTCGATGGCGCCCTGCGCGATGTAGTTCCTCAGCACGTACTTGGGGTTGTTGGCGCGCATAATGCGCACCCGCTCAGCCTGCCAGGCGGCCGCGTCGCTGCTGGCCTCCCGGTCCTTCTCCAGCCGGGCCCTGCAACCCACTGGGCGTCAGCGCGCAGCCCGGCCCGCGCTGGGGGTGGGGGGAGGGGCGGGGCACCGGGGGCTGGGCGGGAGGCACCTGTAGTCGCCGAGCCACGCGGCCCAGGTGCTCCTGTTCCTGACGTGCAGCTCCGCCTCGCTCAGCTGCTCCAGCCGAGACTGCTGCTCCACGCGCTCCAGCTCCCGAGCCAGGCTCGCCCGCGTGCCGATGAGCGCCAGGAGCTGCGGGTTTGACTGCGCCAGCATGAGCATCATGGACAGCTGCCTGCGCGGAGCGGGCGCGTGAGGGGCCCCGGGCTCGGCCCTCCGGGCCCGCCACACCGCTGTGTCTGGCCCCGCCAGGGCGGAGCCCGGGTGCGGTGGGCGGGGCAGACGGGAGAACACAACCAGCCGCCCTCCCTCCTGTGGCAGCCCCTGCACGCGACAGGCCAGTCTCCCGCTGTTGACTCCGCCCATGGAGACCACAGATGGATCCTCCACCTGGGGAGGGGGGCAGGGCAGCCCCTGACACCCCCTTCTCAGTCACCCTGGCTCTGGGCTCAGCAGGTCCTGCCAGCTTCAGCCTCCCCCACACAGCTGCAATAGATTCCTGCTGGGCACCAAACTTGTTGATGGGTTGAGTTGTGGACCGCACCCCCCCCCCCACCCCTGGGCACAAAGGTGCAGAAAGCCTGGGTGGCTGGAGACTGCGGGCCACACCCAGGCTGTTCCTGGGGAGCCTCCCCGGAGCAGAGACCACCATGCCCCAGCCTGTGCCGCCTGGCCCCCCATTCCAGTGTCAGCAGCACGTCCTCTCCTCTGATGGGTGGGCCTCAGGGCTACAAAGCCAGAGTCTGACCACCCATGGCTTCGTTCTAAATATTCCTCCCTTTCCGGAAACAAATTCCCGTGAAGCTAGACCCAAGCGCTCACCGGGGATCCATCTGGGGTCGGAAGGCGAGCCTCAGCTCCTCCAGGGAGGCACACTGTGCAGTCAGCGCGGCCAGGAACTCATCCAGGTCTGGGGGCTCGGGCGCGGCCGGGAGGGAGCTCAGCAAGTAGAAGGAGTTTGTGACGTCAGCCCCTAGGACACAAAGCTGCTCAGGGCGCAGCCCCGTCACCAGATGACCGCACGTGTTCATCCAGCACATGTGAAGTCAGCCCCTAGGACACAAAGCTGCTCAGGGCGCAGCCCCGTCACCAGATGACCGCACGTGTTCATCCAGCACATGTGAAGTCAGCCCCTAGGACACAAAGCTGCTCAGGGCGCAGCCCCGTCACCAGATGACCGCACGTGTTCATCCAGCACATGTGAAGTCAGCCCCTAGGACACAAAGCTGCTCAGGGCGCAGCCCCGTCACCAGATGACCGCACGTGTTCATCCAGCACATGTGAAGTCAGCCCCTAGGACACAAAGCTGCTCAGGGCGCAGCCCCGTCACCAGATGACCGCACGTGTTCATCCAGCACATGTGAAGTCAGCCCCTAGGACACAAAGCTGCTCAGGGCGCAGCCCCGTCACCAGATGACCGCACGTGTTCATCCAGCACATGTGAAGTCAGCCCCTAGGACACAAAGCTGCTCAGGGCGCAGCCCCGTCACCAGATGACCGCACGTGTTCATCCAGCACATGTGAAGTCAGCCCCTAGGACACAAAGCTGCTCAGGGCGCAGCCCCGTCACCAGATGACCGCACGTGTTCATCCAGCACATGTGAAGTCAGCCCCTAGGACACAAAGCTGCTCAGGGCGCAGCCCCGTCACCAGATGACCGCACGTGTTCATCCAGCACATGTGAAGTCAGCCCCTAGGACACAAAGCTGCTCAGGGCGCAGCCCCGTCACCAGATGACCGCACGTGTTCATCCAGCACATGTGAAGTCAGCCCCTAGGACACAAAGCTGCTCAGGGCGCAGCCCCGTCACCAGATGACCGCACGTGTTCATCCAGCACATGTGAAGTCAGCCCCTAGGACACAAAGCTGCTCAGGGCGCAGACCCGTCACCAGATGACCGCACGTGTTCATCCAGCACATGTGAAGTCAGCCCCTAGGACACAAAGCTGCTCAGGGCGCAGCCCCGTCACCAGATGACCGCACGTGTTCATCCAGCACATGTGAAGTCAGCCCCTAGGACACAAAGCTGCTCAGGGCGCAGCCCCGTCACCAGATGACCGCACGTGTTCATCCAGCACATGTGAAGTCAGCCCCTAGGACACAAAGCTGCTCAGGGCGCAGCCCCGTCACCAGATGACCGCACGTGTTCATCCAGCACATGTGAAGTCAGCCCCTAGGACACAAAGCTGCTCAGGGCGCAGCCCCGCCACCAGATGACCGCACGTGTTCATCCAGCACATGTGAAGTCAGCCCCTAGGACACAAAGCTGCTCAGGGCGCAGCCCCGTCACCAGATGACCGCACGTGTTCATCCAGCACATGTGAAGTCAGCCCCTAGAGCACAAAGCTGCTCAGGGCGCAGCCCCGCCACCAGATGACCGCACGTGTTCATCCAGCACATGTGAAGTCAGCCCCTAGGACACAAAGCTGCTCAGGGCGCAGCCCCGTCACCAGATGACCGCACGTGTTCATCCAGCACATGTGAAGTCAGCCCCTAGGACACAAAGCTGCTCAGGGCGCAGCCCCGTCACCAGATGACCGCACGTGTTCATCCAGCACATGTGAAGTCAGCCCCTAGGACACAAAGCTGCTCAGGGCGCAGCCCCGTCACCAGATGACCGCACGTGTTCATCCAGCACATGTGAAGTCAGCCCCTAGGACACAAAGCTGCTCAGGGCGCAGCCCCGTCACCAGATGACCGCACGTGTTCATCCAGCACATGTGAAGTCAGCCCCTAGGACACAAAGCTGCTCAGGGCGCAGCCCCGTCACCAGATGACCGCACGTGTTCATCCAGCACATGTGAAGTCAGCCCCTAGGACACAAAGCTGCTCAGGGCGCAGCCCCGTCACCAGATGACCGCACGTGTTCATCCAGCACATGTGAAGTCAGCCCCTAGGACACAAAGCTGCTCAGGGCGCAGCCCCGTCACCAGATGACCGCACGTGTTCATCCAGCACATGTGAAGTCAGCCCCTAGGACACAAAGCTGCTCAGGGCGCAGCCCCGTCACCAGATGACCGCACGTGTTCATCCAGCACATGTGAAGTCAGCCCCTAGGACACAAAGCTGCTCAGGGCGCAGCCCCGTCACCAGATGACCGCACGTGTTCATCCAGCACATGTGAAGTCAGCCCCTAGGACACAAAGCTGCTCAGGGCGCAGCCCCGTCACCAGATGACCGCACGTGTTCATCCAGCACATGTGAAGTCAGCCCCTAGGACACAAAGCTGCTCAGGGCGCAGCCCCGTCACCAGATGACCGCACGTGTTCATCCAGCACATGTGAAGTCAGCCCCTAGGACACAAAGCTGCTCAGGGCGCAGCCCCGTCACCAGATGACCGCACGTGTTCATCCAGCACATGTGAAGTCAGCCCCTAGGACACAAAGCTGCTCAGGGCGCAGCCCCGTCACCAGATGACCGCACGTGTTCATCCAGCACATGTGAAGTCAGCCCCTAGGACACAAAGCTGCTCAGGGCGCAGCCCCGTCACCAGATGACCGCACGTGTTCATCCAGCACATGTGAAGTCAGCCCCTAGGACACAAAGCTGCTCAGGGCGCAGCCCCGTCACCAGATGACCGCACGTGTTCATCCAGCACATGTGAAGTCAGCCCCTAGGACACAAAGCTGCTCAAGGCGCAGCCCCGTCACCAGATGACCGCACGTGTTCATCCAGCACATGTGAAGTCAGCCCCTAGGACACAAAGCTGCTCAGGGCGCAGCCCCGTCACCAGATGACCGCACGTGTTCATCCAGCACATGTGAAGTCAGCCCCTAGGACACAAAGCTGCTCAGGGCGCAGCCCCGTCACCAGATGACCGCACGTGTTCATCCAGCACATGTGAAGTCAGCCCCTAGGACACAAAGCTGCTCAGGGCGCAGCCCCGTCACCAGATGACCGCACGTGTTCATCCAGCACATGTGAAGTCAGCCCCTAGGACACAAAGCTGCTCAGGGCGCAGCCCCGTCACCAGATGACCGCACGTGTTCATCCAGCACATGTGAAGTCAGCCCCTAGGACACAAAGCTGCTCAGGGCGCAGCCCCGTCACCAGATGACCGCACGTGTTCATCCAGCACATGTGAAGTCAGCCCCTAGGACACAAAGCTGCTCAGGGCGCAGCCCCGTCACCAGATGACCGCACGTGTTCATCCAGCACATGTGAAGTCAGCCCCTAGGACACAAAGCTGCTCAGGGCGCAGCCCCGTCACCAGATGACCGCACGTGTTCATCCAGCACATGTGAAGTCAGCCCCTAGAGCACAAAGCTGCTCAGGGCGCAGCCCCGTCACCAGATGACCGCACGTGTTCATCCAGCACATGTGAAGTCAGCCCCTAGGACACAAAGCTGCTCAGGGCGCAGCCCCGTCACCAGATGACCGCACGTGTTCATCCAGCACATGTGAAGTCAGCCCCTAGGACACAAAGCTGCTCAGGGCGCAGCCCCGTCACCAGATGACCGCACGTGTTCATCCAGCACATGTGAAGTCAGCCCCTAGGACACAAAGCTGCTCAGGGCGCAGCCCCGCCACCAGATGACCGCACGTGTTCATCCAGCACATGTGAAGTCAGCCCCTAGGACACAAAGCTGCTCAGGGCGCAGCCCCGCCACCAGATGACCGCACGTGTTCATCCAGCACATGTGAAGTCAGCCCCTAGGACACAAAGCTGCTCAGGGCGCAGCCCCGTCACCAGATGACCGCACGTGTTCATCCAGCACATGTGAAGTCAGCCCCTAGAGCACAAAGCTGCTCAGGGCGCAGCCCCGCCACCAGATGACCGCACGTGTTCATCCAGCACATGTGAAGTCAGCCCCTAGGACACAAAGCTGCTCAGGGCGCAGCCCCGTCACCAGATGACCGCACGTGTTCATCCAGCACATGTGAAGTCAGCCCCTAGGACACAAAGCTGCTCAGGGCGCAGCCCCGTCACCAGATGACCGCACGTGTTCATCCAGCACATGTGAAGTCAGCCCCTAGGACACAAAGCTGCTCAGGGCGCAGCCCCGTCACCAGATGACCGCACGTGTTCATCCAGCACATGTGAAGTCAGCCCCTAGAGCACAAAGCTGCTCAGGGCGCAGCCCCGTCACCAGATGACCACACGTGTTCATCCAGCACATGTGTGGAGCCCTGCTGGGCGTCAGGCCGGGGGTTCCTGGCCCCCCCACCCCCAGCCTGTTCTCAGTTCCCCCAGCTCGGTCCCCACGCTGAACCTGACAAGTCACTCAGTCTCCCAAGGCCTCCAAGCCCAGTTTCCTCATCAGTGACCTGAATAAACAGTCCAGGCACCGAGGCCGGCCCTGGCCCCTGCTGCTGTCAGCGCCTTCAGCACTGCACGCTCTGGGAACTGCAAGGCTGAGCTAGCAGAGGACCTGCGGTAACCGGCCTGTTGTGTGGCGTCCTTGGCCTGGCTGGCTACGTCAGCGTCACCATGACCCCTAAGGAAACGGCCAGAAACCAGACGGGGAGCCAGAATGGTGTGCACAAAAAACCACCTAAACACGAGCATGGCGACCGAAAATAAGGGACAAAAATGGTGTAAGACAGAAAACAACAAAGCAGCATAAATTCTTCCTTATCTGCAGTTAACTTTTGAAGTAAATGGACCTGGGACTTCCCTGGTCCAGTGGTTAGCACTGCGCTTTTAATGCCAAGGGCATGGGGTCAACCCCTGGTTGGGGAACTAAGATCTTGAGAGGACTGCCCCCCTCCCCAAAGTAAGTGGATTAATGTCACTATTCAAAGAGCAAAGACCAGCAGAATGGATAAAAAAAACATGATCCAATGACAGCATGAAGACGCTTAAGTTGAAAGCAAAAAGATGGAAAAAATATCTCACACAAAGAGTAACCTAAGAAGTTGGGTGGCTATGCTGACACCAGAAAGTAGACTTTATATAAGCACCTAACAAAGGGGAGCCTTAGATGTGGGTGAGTCAGTTCAGCAAGAAGACACAACAGTCAAACAAGAGCCCCCAACACAGAAAGCAAACACTCATAAAACTGAAGGAGAAACGCTTCTTGGCTGTGCGGGGCCATCCCTGTGGTTTGGGGGGCTTCTCTAGTTGTGCAAGGGCGTAGTTGTGCAAGGGGCCACCCCTGCGGCTTGGGGGGCTTCTCTAGTTGTGCAAGGGCGTAGTTGTGCAAGGGGCCATCCCTGCAGTTTGGGGGGCTTCTCTAGTTGTGCAAGGGGCCATCCCTGCGGTTTGGGGGCTTCTCTAGTTGTGCAAGGGTGTAGTTGTGCAAGGGGCCATCCCTGTGGTTTGGGGGGCTTCTCTAGTTGTTTTGCAAGGGCGTAGTTGTGCAAGGGGCCATCCCTGCGGTTTGGGGGGCTTCTCTAGTTGTGCAAGGGCGTAGTTGTGCAAGGGGCCATCCCTGCAGTTTGGGGGGCTTCTCTAGTTGTGCAAGGGCGTAGTTGTCCTGCAGCACGTGAGATCTTAGTTTCCCGACAAAGGATCAAACCCACGACCCCTGCGTTGGACGGCAGATTCTTAACCACTGGGGAAACTCCTGAATACGTGTTGAAGAAACTGCGCTCCAGGTAACAACGAGAAAAAGCCGAAGGGCAGAGTCCAGCAGTTTTGCAGGAGCCGGGGTGTCAGCGCCTGACCCCTGGACAGAAGGTTGACAGGGAAACAACGGACACCAAGCAGTGCCCCACCCAAGCTCTCAGCTGCACGTTCTCCAGGACAGACTGTGCGTCAGGCCGTGAAACTAGTCTCAGTACCCTGAGAACACTGGTGTATTCTGCAACCACAATGGAAAGAAGCTAGAAGTCACAAATGGAAGGAAAATTAGAGGGTTAGATGGTTGGATGGCACCATCAACTCAATGGACCTGAGTTTGAGCAAATTGGGACAGGGAAGCCTGGCTTGCTGCAGTCCATGGGGTTGCAAAGAGTCAGACACAATTTAGCAACTGAATAACAATGTTAAAATTAATCAACTACTGGGTCTAAAAAGAAATCACAAGGGAAATGAGAAAACACTTGGAGGTATGAACCAAAAGCAGCAGTGCTCAGAGGGAAGTTTATCGTTATGTATGTCTGAACTAAAAGAACAGCGCTGTCATTACCAGAAAAAAATGTGACTGCATGTGGTGATCATTTCCCGTTGCATGTGTATGTCATGGTGCACACCTGAGACCTGTAAGATGCTGCGTATCAGTTACTTCTCAATAAAAACATTTCAAATCAATAACCTAATCTCATACCTAAGGAACTAGAAAAAGAACAAATAAGACCAAACTTAACAGAAAGGAAGATGAAAGCAGAGATACATAGAGAACAAAAGTGAGAGAATGAGACCAAAATTGGTTCTTCGAAAAGATCAGTAAAATTGACAAAATTCTAGCTAAAACAATAAAGAAAAAATTGACTTTATTGACTACACCAAAACCTTTGACTGTGTGGATCACAATAAACTGGAAAATTCTTAAAGAGGTGGGAATACCAGACCACCTAACCGGCCTCCTGAGAAATCTGTATGTAGGTCAGGAAGCAACAATTAGAATGGGACATGAAACAACAGACTGGTTCCAAATTGGAACGGGTCAAGGCTGTATCACCTTGTGTCACCCTGTTTATTTAACTTTTATGCAGAGCACCTCATATGAAACGCTGGACTGGATGAAGCACACACTGGAATCAAGATTGCCAGGAGAAATATCAATAACCTCAAATATGCAGAGGACACCACCCTTATGGCAGAAAGTGAAGAGGAACTGAAGAGCCTCTCGATGAAAGTGAAAGAGGAGAGTGAAAAAGTTGACTTAACACTCAATATTCAAAAAGTTAAGATCATGGCATCTGGTCCCATCACTTCATGGCAAATAGATGGGGAAACAGTGCAAACAATGAGATACTTTATTTTGGGGGGCTCTGAAATCACTGCAGATGGTGATTGCAGCCATGAAATTAAAAGACGCTTGCTCCCTGGAAGAAAAGCTATGACCAACCTAGACAGCATATTAAAAAGCAGAGATATTACTTTGCCAACAAAGGTCCGTCTAGTCAAAGCTGTGGTTTTTCCAGTAGTCATGTATGGATGTGAGAGCTGGACCATAAAGAAGTCTGAGCGCCGAAGAATTGATGCTTTTGAACTGTGGTGTTGGAGAAGACTCTTGAGGCTCCCTTAGATTGCAAGGAGATCAAACCAGCCAATCCTAAAGGAAATCAGTCCTGAATATTCATTGGAAGGACTGATGCTGAAGCTGAAGTTGTGAAGAACTGACTCATTAGAAAAGACCCCGATGCAGGGAAAGACTGAAGGCAGGAGGAGAAGAGGATGACAGAGGATGAGATGGTTGGATAGCATCACCAACTCAACTGTTGTGAATTTGAGCAAGCTTCGGGAGTTGGTGATGGACAGGGAGGCCTGGCGTGCTGCAGTCCATGGGGTTGCAAAGAGTTGGACACGACTGAGTGATTGAACTAACTGAAAACAATAAAAAAAAAGTAACAGGATATCACTACTGATTAGACAGAAATAAAAGACTAAGAGGACACTATGAATAGTAATTCAGATAACTTAAATGACAGATTCCTAAGAACATAAATCACCAAAACTGACTCAGGAAGAAAAAGAAAATCTCACTAGGCCCATAGCAAGTAAAGAGACTGTAAACTTCCTGACACAGGAAATGTCAGGACCAGAGAGCTTCACGGTGAATTCTACCCAACTTTTTTTTCTTTCTACCGATCATTTAAAGAAGAGTTAACACCAGTCCTTAGACTCTTCTAAAAAACAGGAGGAAACATTTTCTAACTCATTTCATGAAACCAGCACTGTGTCGATACCAAAACCAAACAGACGTGCCATGAGAAAAGAAAGCCACAGACCAGTGTCCCTTCTAAGTACAGACGTAAGAAACCTCAGCAAAATACCAGAAGACCATGTAGGATTTACCCCAGAATGCAAGGGGTGTCTGTGTGTCCCCTCCCAGATTCAGAGCTGGAGACCCAAACCTCAGGGGGACAGTATTTGGAGATGGGGCCTTTGGGAGGTAGGGACGAGGCTGCAGCCCTTCCAGTGGCTCTGTGCTCCTGTGAGGTCGCAACCAGCAGATGGCATCCCGAGGCTGGACGTCTAGCCTCCAGGCTGTGAGAAGCATTTTAAACGGAGGCAGGATACGGACAAAGAAGTAAAACCACGTGGTCACTTCGACTGACGCAGTGTGAAAGCACGCAGCAGTGGATAGAAGGGAGCATACTCTACTGAGAGGAGTCACATGTGAACTGGCCCATGGCTCATGGCACGCTTGCGTGAAAGATGCTTTCCCCAAGGGCAGGAACAGCAAATGGCGCCTGGCTGGCCACTTCTGCGGGGCAGCACTGGGCCTCCAAGCCGGATTGGCCAGGAAGTCACACACGCCCTGCAAAGGCAGTCCCGGAGGACGGGAGACAGGAGACGGGGACCCAGACAGCCGCAGCTTGTGAGCAACCTGCCCCCACTCACCGGTCAGGTGCATGGTCTCCAGGAGCTGGGCCACCAGGGCGCCATCCCCCTCCTGCTCGGTCTGCATGAGGCCCAGCTTCCGGCGCATCTTCTGCAGGTAGTGCCGGCTGAACTCGGCATCGAACTCCTCCGCCAGGATGGCCTCGGCCAGCTCGAGGGGCAGCGCGGGGTCCAGGGCCTCGGCCAGCTTCTGCAGGTTCCACTTGCACACCTCAGGCTGCTTGCTGTACGCGTAGCGCCCGGCGGTGTCGGAGGCGTTGCACACGTGATCAGGGTCGTACCTGCCACACGGGCAAGAGTGGGCTGGTGCCTAAAGGGGCCCACTGAGGGACCGAGTGGACACCACTGTCCTACCCTGTCCCCCGGGGCCCTGCAGCCCACTCTCCACCCAAGAGCGGAGGGTGCTGGTTAAACGTGTCTGTGCTAAAGCCCACTGGGGGATTCCTGCTCTGGGAATGACCAGGCCTTGCTGAGAATCAAACATGAACAAAATGTTCACAGAAGCAGCCATGCTGGCCTGTGATGGCTGGTGCCCTGTGATGCCTGCGCTGACATGGGCCTCCCCGGGGGCCCCGACGGGCAGCGGGACGCCCACCTGTCCAGGAAGCCGAAGGGCCCGTAGTCGATGGTGAGCCCCACGATGCTCATGTTGTCCGTGTTGAGCACGCCGTGGCAGAAGCCCACGCACTGCCACTCAGCCACCAGCCGGGCCGTGCGCCGAGTCACCTGCAACGGGACGGCCGCCGCTACTCCCTCGGCCCGGCCCCTCCCCTAACCACCAGTGCCCGCTGAGCCGGTCTCGCACTGCGTGACTCCCGGGGGCCTGCCCAGTGTCCTGTCCTGACTTGGAAAGAATGCCCGAGGACATGTGAGAAGGAAACCCCCCCCACACACACACACACCACCGTCTCTTATATACTCACTATTCTGGCTTTTACCCAAACCAGAGACATCAGTGAACCCTGACATTCTCACGACACAGGTCCCCACATGGGATGACCATGTCGGAAGAAGGAAGCAAGTCACCACATTATCAGGCAAACCTGCCCCAGGTGCTGCCTCACCCGGGGCTGCAGGGGACGAGGCTCCACCGGCCCACCTTGGCAGCCAGGAAGAGCATCGGCCCTGCCGCCCCGCACCTAGCCAGTGGGGGAGCACCGGCCCTGCCGCCCTGCACCCAGCCGGGGCGGGGGGGTGGAGCACCGGCCCTGCCGCCCTGTACCCAGCCAGGGGGAACCCTGTGAGCCGCAGGTGCACCAACCAGACGGCCTGTGGCCCCCTGAGCAGCCTACGTGCAGCGCGCCTTCTGAGGTCGCGGGCGCTGCCTGCGTTGGACGGCACCACACTTAGCTTCACTGACCAAGAGACCAGGCTCCGGGGGGGGGACCCAGGCCACCACCGTGGGTGTGAGCTGAGCCTCAAGTCTCCCTGACACTGCCCATGTGACAGATAGGAAGAAACTGTGACTGAATGGGGGGTCTGGGGAGGGACCAGACCTCCCCAGCGTGTCTCTGCACATGGTCCCCAGGGTGCAGGCGGGGCCCGACAAGCGCTGCTTTGGGCCCACTTCTGGGGCACAGTGTCAGCTGCGAGCCTTCAGCCCTCAGGAAGACCCCCGGCCCTGCCGCCTCCACGCCACGGGCTGAGGCTGTACCCCTCCCACTGTGGCCACCGCCAGGGATGCCTGCACGGCCCTGGGAGGGACCATACCTGAGAGTTCTGGGGTGCATTCAGCCCTGAGCCAGGAAAGTCAGCATGTCCCCCAAATCAAGAGGCTTAGGGGTGTGTGGTGGGGGCCACTGTGCGCACAGGCCCCATGCGGGAGACCCAACACCTGCCAGCCCTGACTCCGCCCCCAGATCTCTGCACAGCTCCTTGAGGCTGCTCAAATGGGGGTCCATCCCAGGACCCTGACCCTCAGCATCTGAGAAGCTAGCCCTGGGCCAAGCCAGTGGGTGGTGATGGGGGTTTGGGACAGGAGGGGACTCAGAGGGCAGGACACCCAGTGCCCACCCTCGGGGGACGGCCCCCACTGACCTCCCGGAAGAAGGCGGCGTGCCTCTGCACAGGGTCCCCAGGGTGAGTGGCCTGGATCTCGGGGTAGAAGGTGCTGATGACGTAGTCGAGCATCTGCAGCCGGATGTCGTCCCTCCCCACGCTGGGGCCTGCGCGGCCCGTGTGCTCGTCTCTGGGCTTGAAGATCTCGAACGATCCGAACCTGCAGGGGAGACCCACGTTGACAGCCGGTTAAATGTGACGCCACCCATCCTGAGTGAAGCGGGAAGGGGGTTGCTGGCAGCGTTTGTGGCCAGAGCAGGGGACAAATCTTCAGGGACACAGGCTGACATGGGGCATCTCCCAGGGCACGTGGGGCGGGACGGCCATGGCCACCCTGCAGGGATGAGGGGATCCATGCTGTCTCTCACGGAGGGAGGCAGCCTGTACTGGGGTGAGCTGGGGTCAGCAGTGGGGCACTTACACCCCCAAGAGACGGGACAACGTCCAGAGTCATGTTTGCTGATCACATGGGCCGACCGCCAGCAGTTCATGGGTGGAGGCCAGGGGTGTTGCCCGACTGCCTACATGACACAGACCAGCCCTCAGCAGACCGTCTGGTCCAGACACAGCTACCACGGCCGAAACGGGCCCAAGACGGGCCCGGCGCCTCCACCCCAGAGACAAAGGCGAAGCCGGAGACAGCTGAGCAGTGCCATCAGCTGAGTCCCCTGATCCCCGAGACTGCCACAGCTGCCTCCTGGCGACTGGCTGTAGGTGGCTGGTACCGAGTGCTCGACTCCAGGCAGCTTGGTGACTGCGAGGACTCACAGGCCCCTGGCAACAGGAGGCCTCCAGTCGGCAGACAGGGCACTGGGAGCGGGCGTGCCGGGCGTCACGGCCACCTGCCCAGCGATGCAGGTGAGGCCGTTTTCCCGGCGCGCCTGATGCAGCCCCCGGTCACAGATCCCAGGTCGTGGCTCTGGGCTCACTGCCCAGCCCCTGGCCTAGGGACGTGAGTGTGCGGGCCTCACCTGAGGAACGTGGGGGCCAGGCGCAGCACCACGGCGCATGGCTCGGGCCGGGGGTTCCCGTCGTAGAAGATGTCACGCACAACGGTGGACTGGGACGTGACGCAGGCACCGGCCCGCGTGGTGGGGATGCCCAGGTGGAACATGGCCTCGCTGCACAGGAACTCGCGGATGCTGGAGCGCAGCACCTTGCGGCCGTCGGCCTGTCTGAGGTCAAGCACAGAGGTCACTGCCGGGCACGGTAATGCAGGCACAGCCGCAGGCTGAAGGGACCGGGAAAGCCGCTACCGGCTTCTTTAAACCAGCCCATGAGCAGCTCTGACGTCGTCGTAGAACGTGTCTATTTCGAATGACCCCAGGTGCTATGCCCCTAATGTCCTGCAGGTCTCGATCCACAGCACGGGTGCCCAGCCTGCCGTGGGAGCCAAGTCCACGGGGAGAGCCATCCCCTGGGTCACACGCACACTCATAACTCTACAGTTCTGTTCCTAATAATTTACTTTGTAAAAAACACAACAACACAGACACAGCACTGTCTGCAGTGGCGGGAGAACTTCAGCCCACCCTGGGCAGCTCCAAATGACTGAGACGTTCTCTTACCCTAAACTGACGTTATTATTATCTTAAATAGACTTTACTTTCCTAGGCAGTGTTAGGTTCTCAGCAAAACCGATCAGAAGGCAGAGATTTCTCATATATCCCCCACCACACACACACAGCCTCCCCCAGCATCAACATTCCTACCAGACAGGACATCTGTCAGTGAACCCACGCTGACATGTCACCATCCCCCAGAGCCCATGTTTATTTTACATCAGGGTTCACCCTTGGTGTTACCCATCCTGTGGGTCTGGACAACTGCCTGGACAGGGATCCACCATGACTACAGGGTCACACAGGGAAGTTTCACTGCCCAAAGTCCTCTGTGCTCCACCGAGCCGTCTCTCACCTCCCAACCCCTGGTCTTGTTACTGTCTCCAGAGCTTTGCCTTTTCCAGAATGTCATAGTGTCACACTGTGTGACCTTTTCAGATTAACTTTCTTCACTTACTGATATGCATCCAAGTTTCCAACATATTTTTTTTTTTTTTATGGCTTGATGGCTTTTTTTTTTTTTCTATTCTTTTGCTGAATAATATTCCATTGTCTGGATGGACCATGTTTTATCTATTTACCTTGAAGGATATCTTGTGGCTTCCAAGTTTTGGCAATTAGGAATACAGTTGCTGTGAACATCCTTATACAGAATTCCATGTGGACATGTTTGTAACTCCTCTGGGTAAATACTGAGTCGTATGATTGCTAGATCATATGGTGACAATAATATCTGGCTTGGTAAGAAACCACCACAGCCTTCCCAAGCAGCTGGACCATTCTGCATCCCAGCAGTGATGGCTGTGCTTTCCTGTTGCTCCACATCCTTGCTGGCATTTTGTGTTGTCAGTGTCCTGGAGTTTGGCCGTTCTCATTGGTGTAGTGGCGTCTCACCGTTTCAATTTGCACTTTCCCGATGACATATGATGTGAAATATCTTTCCATGTGCTTATATGCCATCTCTGTATCTTCTTTGGGGAGGTATCTAACAAAGTCTTCGCCCCATTTTAAAATCAGTTTGTTTTCTTATTCTTGAGTTTTGAGAGTTCTTTGTATGTTTTGGAGAACAGACATTTATCAGACGTGTCTTTAGCAGAGACTTTCTCCCCGTCTGTGGCTTGTCATTCTCCTGACATTTTCACAGAAGTTTTACATTTAATAAAGTCCAGCCTATCATTTCTTTCACGGATCCTGTCTTCTGTGTTGTATCTAAAAAGTTGTTTCCATACCTGAGGTCATTCAGATTTTCTATCTTCTAGGAGTTTTACAGTTTTGCATTTTGTGTGTAGGTTGGTCATCCATTCTCAGTTAATTTTTGTAGAGGGTGTCAGGTCTGTGTCTAGATTCTTTTTTTTTTTTAATGTGGATGTTCAGTTGTTTCAGTTCAGTTCAGTCGCTCAGTCATGTTCAACTCTTTGAGACCCCATGAACCGCAGCACGCCAGGCCTCCCTGTTCATCACAAACTCCCGGAGTCCACCCAAACCCATGTCCATTGTGTCAGTGATGCCATACAACCATCTCACCCTCTGTCGTCCCCTTCTCCTCCTGCCCTCAATCTTTCCCACATCAGGGTCTTTTCAAATGAGTCAGTTCTTCCCATCAGGTGGCCAAAGTATTGGAGTTTCAGCTTCAGCATCAGTCCTTCCAATGAACACCCAGGACTGATTTCCCTTAGGATGCACTGGTTTGATCTCCTTGCAGTCCAAGGGGCTATCAAGAGTCTTCTCCAACACCACAGTTCAAAAGCATCAATTTTTCGGTGCTCAGCTTCTTTTATAGTCCAACTCTCACATCCATACATGACCACTGGAAAAACCATAGTCTTGACTAGACGGACCTTTGTTGGCAAAGTAATGTCTCTGTTTTTTAATATGCTGTCTAGGTTGGTCATAACTTTCCTTCCAAGGAGTAAGTGCCTTTTAATTTCATGGCTGCAATCACCATCTGCAATGACTTTGGAGCCCAGAAAAATAAAGTCAGCCATGTTTCCCCATCTATTTGCCATAAAGTGATGGGACCATGATCTTAGTTTTCTGAATGTTGAGCTTTAAGCCAACTTTTTCACTCTCTTCTTTCACTTTCATCAAGAGGCTCTTCAGTTCCTCCTTACTTTCTGCCATAAGGGTAGTGTGATCTGCGTATCTGAGGTTATTGATATTTCTCCTGGCAATCTTGATTCCAGCTTGTGCTTCATCCAGTCCAGTGTTTCTCATGATGTACTCTGCATTTAAGTTAAATAAGCAGGGTGACAATATACAGCCTTGACATACTCCTTTTTCTATTTGGAACCAGTCTGTTGTTCCATGTCCAGTTCTAACTGTTGCTTCCTGACCTGCATATGGGTTCCTCAAGAGGCATGTCAGGTGATCTGGTATTCCCATCTCTTTCAGAATTTTCCACAGTTTACTGTGATCCACACAAACGCTTTGGCATAGTCAGTAAAGCAGAAATAGATGTTTTTCTGGAACTCTCTTGCTTTTTCGATGATCCAGCGGACGCTGGCAATTTGATCTCTGGTTCCTCTGCCTTTTCTAAAACCAGCTTGAACATCTAGAAGTTCAGGGTTCACGTCTTGCTGAAGTCTGGCTTGGAGAATTTTAAGCACTACTTTACTAGAGTGTGAGATGAGTGCAATTGTATGGTAGTTTGAGCATTCTTTGGCATTGCCTTTCTTTGGGATTGGGAAGTTGTTCCAGTACAATCTGTTGAAAATATCATTGCTCCATTGGATTGCCTTTGCTCCTTTGTCAAAGATCCATGCTTATGCGGGTCTATTTCTTGGCTCTTCTGTTCCACTGATCTATCCATTCTTTGGCCAAAACCACACCCTCTTGATTACCACAGCTTTGTAGTCAGTCTTGAAGTGGGGGCGGTGCCAGTCCTGACTTTGTTCTTGTCCCCCAATATTGAGCTATTCTGGGGTTCTGCCTCTTGATAAAAATTTTAGAATCATTTTGTTAATTTCTACAAGATAACTTGTTGAGACTTTGATTGGGGTTGCACTGAATCTACAGATTGAGTTGGGAAGAACCAACATCTTGGCAATATTAAATCTTCCTATCCATGAACATGGAATATCTTTACACTGATTTATTTCTTTTTTTATCAGTCTTGTAGTTTTCCTCATAGAGATCATTTGTTAGATTCACACCTAAGTATTTCATTTTTAGGAATGCTAATGGAAACAGTGTTTTTAATTTCAAATTCCATTTGTCATTGCTTGGCTGTAGTACAGTATCCTGCAATATTATAACTGCTCTGAGCTCATTTTGGTCCATTCTTTGAGATTTTCTACATAGATGTCCATTTGCAAACAAAAATGGTTTTTCTTTCTCTCATCTCAATGTGTATGCCTTTGATTTTCTTGCCTTGCTGCATTAGCTAGGACCTCCAGGGATGCTGAGAAGCAATGGAGAGATGGAACATCTTTGCCTTGTTTCCAGTGGGAAAGCTCTGAGGTTCTCATGATGAAGTAGATTTAGCTAGAGGTTTTCTGTAGATACTCTATAAGTTCCTATTTCTGATTTATCATGAAGAGTGTTAGATTCTGTCAAATGCCTTTTTTGCTTCAACTAATATGATTTTCCTTTTTTAGCCTGTTGACCTGATGGATCACATTGATTGATTTTTGAATGTTGAACCAGCCCTGCATACTTGGAATAAATCCATTTGGTGGTGATATGTAATTCTTTTCATACACTGTTGAATTTGATTTGCTAATGTTTTGTTGAGGAATTCTTTGTGTTCATGAGTGATTTTGGTCTGTAGTTTTCTTGCATTGCCTTTGTCTAGATCTGGTATCAGGGCAACACTGGACTCAGACAAGTCAGGGAGCAGTTCCTCCGCTTTCATTCTCTGAAAAGAGTGGCATAATTTTGTCCTTCAATGTTTGGCAGAATTCGCCATTGAGCTCATCTGGGCCTGATGCTTTCTGATTTGGAAGGCTACTAATTGACTCAATTTCTTTAATACATACAGGCCTATTCAGATTGTCTATTCTTTTAATATATACAGGCCTATTCAGATTGTCTATTTTTTCTTGTGAGTTTTGGCAAATTTTGTTTTTCAAGGAATTGGTTCTTTTCATCTAGGCTAGCAAATTTGTGAGCATAGTACTGTTTGAAGTATTTTAATTATGCTTTTAATGTCTATATGAATTGTATGATCTTCCCTCTTTGATTTCTGGTATTAGTAATTGCGTCCTAACTTTTTTCCTAGTTAGCCTGGCTAGAGGTGTATTGATTTTATATATGTTTTCAAAGAAAAAGCTTCTCATTTCACTGATTTCTCCTTTATTATTTCCTATTTCAATTTCATTGATTTCTGCTCTAATTTTCCTTCTTCTTGTTTACTTTGGAGAGCAGATATGCTCACCACTATACCACCAACTTTGGACTGGATTTGCTCTTTGTAGTTTCCTAGATGGAAGCTTAAATATTGGTTTTAGATCTCTTTTCTTTACTAACATATGCACTCACTCACTGCTATAAATTCCCTTCAAAGCACTGCTTTTACTGTACCCCACACACTTGATATTTTCACTTTAATTTAGTTCAAAACATTTAAAAATTTCTCTTGGGATGGTGGCTCAGATGGTAAAGAATCTGCCTGC